CATACTAGGATCGTAACTTAAAAATACAGCAAAAACAAATAAAAAAGGTAAAAATTAATGCGTATAATGTATTTGGAATATGTAGTAGGAAATGTAAACAGAAAAATGTATCGAACAGAATGCTATAAATCTTTGTGTAGATTAAAATATATATATGTACCGTTACCAGCGAAGAATACGAACGGAGTTGAAGGCACCTGCGGCTGTTCTTGGTAATATTTTAATACACTTTATTGCAAATAAAGAAACAAAGGCGGAGAAGATTTAAAATGTTTTTATGGGCTTTTAATAAAACGATACCTATTCTTGTTTGAAAACAGTTGAGTTTTAATTTAAAAAAGGAAAAACAAAGTTTTTGTAATGATGAATAAAAAATGTTTCAATTTTAAAGATATTTTTTTTTTTAAGAAAAGGTCGGATTTTTTAATTGATGTACCTAATTAAAATCGGTAAATATGTAGATACTAGATAGCTGTATATATAAAAAAAATATATAATCATATCAAGAAGAAAATAAAAAAGCCTTTATGCCACTTATATTTCAAATTTCTCTATTACAATACAAAAATATATTTTCGAAGATTAGGAAAACATGACTTGCTGGTATGAGGCACTTTTGCTGTGAGCACGGTTATTAATATATGTTTGAAAATTTAAAATAATCTTTTTATTCAAACAAAGAATCTGTCTACAAGTACTACAAGCTACACGTCATACTCAAAGCAGCTTAGCTGATGGAGAGCTTTGTTTGTTATAGTTGGTAAAGTAAAGGATTTGTGTGAAATAAAAACGGGAAATCCGCGGAGATATCAAAAATTGCTATGTCGGGTGATACGGAACAATAAACCGCATTGAATTCACACCTTAACAATCAAAAGTGAAATAAAATGAATAACAGTTTAACAAAGTTTGTGCTAGCTATTGTGATGATATATTTTTCGAATGCCGGACAAACAAACAAAAAACAACCATCTATTCAATCTTAATATTTCCCGTGTTTTCCATAAAATGCTTTATTATTAAGTTGATTATTCTAATATTTTAAATTTCATAACAAATAAGAAATAAAATAATTATAGCCAACTGATATCCATACTAAATGTATTGAATTAGTTAGAAAATTTAACAGTAATATAGTATTTAAATTATAAACATTTTCCACTTCGTGCATGTACATCTCTGTACGGATACAAAAAACAAACCTTAGTATGGCCGCATTGCGTAAGGCAAAATACAGTTATTTGCCATTTTATATTAGGATACCCTAACGTCAAAAATGTTAATGGACAATTCCCATGAAAAGACCCATTAAAAAGACCTATCAGCCATCTCTTTTCCAATGGCTTAAGGTCGAAGGCGATACTGACACCCTTCAATAGAATATCGGCGTGAGTAACCATCGCATTGATTGTGGGAGCCGGAAACCCTCATTGATATTGATTGGCAAAAGAGGGGAATTATATTGTCCCTATAGACCCTTAAGACATGTACAGCACCATCTGTCATGAATACAGTCAAGAGCAATTTAAATAAAAGCTCGATTTCCAAGAAAGTCTGGACCGAACAAGTTCTCATAGTAACACAATATAACCAAGATCCCTAATTCAATGTGAATTGATAGATTTCTAATAAGAAACGAACCAGAAAATACTTGAGAAAATTCCTATAATATTTTTATGACAAAGAAACGAGATATAAAACCGTAACATTAAATCAATATTCTAATATTATATGGCAATCGTAAAATTATGTATCTGCAACTCATAATATGGTCTTTTGACAAAAATAAATACAAAAGCATTGAAATACATTAAAACCTGATGGTTTTGAAGATACTCTTAATGAAATTGCAACAATTATCCCAAAGCAATCTTCATTAAAAAAAAACAGGTTTTCGGAATATTAAAATTATGAGGGACCAAGAACATTTTGAAATACCTATGTATATATTTTTTTATCAGAACAATTTGGAAAAATTGTTAAAGATTATCGAAATCACACAATTGATCGCAAAAATATTAGATACTAGAAGACCTGGCGAACTTCGTATCGCCCTATAATCAAGAAATATCTATTACGTTTTTTATTTATATTTTTGGAGTTTACCTGTAAGCCATATCTCCGTGTTTTGAAGTGCGACAGAATGATTGACATATTAGTTAGTTGTCAATTCTAATGTCAAAAAAAAACGTTTGTATGGGAAATAGAAAAGGGCTGTTTTTATGGTTTTCCCAGTAATGAATCAATTTTTTTTAGCTTTTATACCTTCCCTGAACCTCCACGAACATTTCAAGACTAAGATAAGATAAATCCGTTCAGTCGTTCTCGACTTTTAGCGAGACTAAGGAACAGCAATCCATTTTTAGATATATAGAAGATTTTAATTCACAATATACTTTTTACAATATTATTTATCATGGATACATTCAATCAATTTTAAAATTGAAAACTTTATACGAATGATACAATCGAACGGTTGAATCATTTGTTTTCGATCAATCATTCCTGTTCAATTTATTCCCATATACTTTTTCTTTTTATTTCCGAATCATAAAAAAAGACGTTTAGTATATCGATAACAATACGGTGTAAATAACGGAAGGTGGCATCTCATCAAATTAACAATAAATTCTGAATATCTAATGCTCTGTGCCATTAGGCAGCTATTAATCAAGAAATGAGATGTCTAAATATAAGACCTTTTCGGTTAACGATAAATAGCCATTTCGGTTGAACGCCATTACGTTTGTAAATTTAACGCTTTCCTTTTTTACATTCGCAATTTCGTCTTAATGGTAACATTTGAATTCATTTACGTTTAATGTAATTTTCGATTTCAATTTACGTGCTTTTACAACCGTAACTCAAAGCTTGGATATTCAGGGATAATATTTACCATATTAATTTAACATTTAAACTGTTTTCTTTTTTTATAAACCGATATAAATAATTCTATTATATTATCCACTGAGATGATCATTTCTAATATAATGAAAATATTAATATACCATAGGAACATATAGTTTTAATCTGTATTTTTAGCCCCTGGTAGTAAGAGAGGTTTGTTAAGCATGTATGTTTGGCTGTGGCATTGTAGCTCTTAAACAGACTGACCGATTTTGAGACTTTTTTTATTTGAAATCCAGTTTCTTTGTGGTGTTTTTCACTATGATTTTTTGACATTGGTCCAGCAGTGTATGAGAAGTCACTCTCTTCCAAAATGATTGAAGAAATTTTTGATTACTCGTTTAAGATCTTTACACTTGTCAATGTTATTGATAAATGATAATTAAATATTGAGAATTTCCATAAAAGACTACTAAAATATGGTCCATATTTTAATAGTTCATTAATAATATTTTCTTATGTATAATATTTCCATAAAAGCAATACATTTTTTTTACATGTTTCTATGAAATTCATCATTATCAAGATTGTTCACATATTTTTTTAAACTTAATCTTTTCAAATTGTGTGAAGCCAAATTATATCTACAGACTAGAATTATTATTTGTAAGGTAAAGAATATTTACTTTAAAATCCCAAAGAAAGATAATTGTGTTAAGGAAAAGAAAAGTTTATATTTTACACAACGGATACAAACAATTTTAAAATAACTTACTATATTATATTCTGTCTAATATTAAAGTTATGGCATAACTTGTAGTCAATAAAGTATTTAAAAAAACATAAATGTAATGACAATATAATTTTTAAAATTGAGAGTTTTAATGAAATTTTTTAATTTGACACAAGAATAGAAATTTATAAATATAAAAGATATTCTAGATATTTGTATATTATCATTCAATGTCTCTATCTACTTAAACATAATCTACTAATCTAATTCTGTTATGAACTGACACTATCTTTTAGTTCTATTTTTGACATTCAAGAATTTTATCTCAATTATCAAATCAATAGTAATACTTTAAAGAGGTTGAAAATAAAATATATTGTGAAACTTATATATATTTAATTAATTGACAAAAAGTGTAAGAATGAGTAGTGTGATTTAAATATGAGATATGTATGAGGTTTTTGGTACTCTCTAGTGAAAAGGTCAATCTTAATTGAGGTGATATATATGACAGACAAGTCTTATAAACAAATATAGACTGTTGACTAGTTAGCACCATTGAAAACTTGACACATTAAATTGTGTGTATGATTCTAAATTCTTGATCTACCATAATGTTGTTCATTATATATTCACATTATTATGTATTGGTACATAATAATTTTAGCTATTGAAATATCTAGACTTGAGAAATTATATATTATTTACTGTTTAAATACTTGCAATATTTTATACACATAACTTTAATTATGATTTCTATGAAAGTAATGATAATGTTTGCTGTTAAATAGGTCTGTTGTTATAATATCATTAAATATAAATAAATGTAATGAAATAAATGTGTAATTTTAAGAATATCGATCGACTGTTGTGTCAGACTGCGCTACAATACACAACTTGAACTTACTTTCAAATCTATAGCAGCGATATTTTGAACACTTTTAAATTGCACTAAGCTCAAAGATAAGTGAATTAATCTAATTTATTTACAAAAGCACGTAACACTGTTAAAAATTAGAAAAAATACTTCTTTTTTCCCTAAAAAGCAAACACAGAAAAACTCGACAACTACAGCAAAACAGCGACAGCGGCGCCACCATTTATTAAATCTTTGACAACTCGAGTAATGTTGCCACTCTAAACCCCTCAAACTAATTTTTAAGAACATTTAAAAGTCGGATAAATGTAAAAGTGAAAATAAAATAAAAATCTAAGTCATAACTATTTATTCTTTTATAAAACTCTTAAAAATTCGTAAAGTTGAGCATACATAATATCTAAATGAAAGAATTATCACTAACTTAAGATTAGAATGCTACAAAGGTTGTGTGCCAAAGTTTTGATATAACCAGGCAACCTTATATCCGTAAAAACTACAATAAATTAAAACATTCACTTAATATTATAGAACTTTAACAGATCAAGCGAAATCCACACCGGTGTCTAAGAGGTCTCTAACAAGCACGGTTGCTTTTCTAGGAAGAATGCGTAATACATGTCCAAGAAACAGAAAATGTTTAGGTACTGAAGTCTCAGGATAATTTCGAAGAACTCCCTCTAAAACAGAACTGGCTGCCTTTGATGGAGTGATAGTGCCGAAATAACTAGAAATTCTGAAAAAAAAAATTATATTAACAACATAAAATATACATATATAAAAAACCAATATACTACATAGTATAATTTTAGACGAAAAATACACTGAATAAACATGAATATTTATATATTTATTACTTACTTTAAATTAAACTCAGAGTTATCCTCTACAATAAATGGATAAATGTGTGTCAATGTGACATGAACACCATCAATTTTATTGATCCTTAGATCCTCCATTAGCGATTCAGCCAGACCCTGAACAGCAAACTGTGCTACACAGAGCGGCATCTGATCTTTGATGTAACTGAGTCCAGCTACCGAAGTTAATGCTACTATATGACCATGATTTCTTGCTTTCATTTCCGGAAGGAAGTTATCGATGAGCTAGAAAGTATTTAAATAAATTATAAAATAGTTATACATGTGTATTGTAAACTACTACTATATCTCTCATCTTTTTTGTATGTAACTGTTTCATAAAAAGATTAATTATTTACCCAAAAGTATGATGTTAAAGTCAGATCCAATGTTCCGTGAATATCTTCATTGGGTGTCATCAGTAATGATCTAGGGCTCGGGATGCCACAGCAATAGAACAACATGCTAACAAAACCTAACTCAGTCTTCACTTTTTGTGCTAAATCATCAACATTTTCTTTCTTGGTAATGTCACATGTGTACATAAAGGCATCTCCGCCTTTCCGTTTAATGTAAGCTACTGTCTTACTATTATTTATTTCATTGATATCCACACATATAACTGTCGCTCCAAGATATGATAGTTGTATGGCTAGATCACGACCAATACCTCTTCCAGAACCGATCACCTGATATAATAAAATATACCTATATCATCATCATCAGCCAAAAGACGTCCACTGCAGGACATAGGCCTCCCCCAAGGAATATATACATGTATATTATTTTTAATTTAAATATTTTTAATCCAGTTTTGTCATTATAGATTAATTATAGATTCTTGGGTAAACTTCAAATAGAAAATTTAAAAATAAAAAATCAGTCATTTATCTTCCTATTTTAAAGAAAAAGACTTAGTGGAAGATGTTATTAATCAAATTTCAATCATATTAATATATTAGCATTATAAAATTTTATCAGTTATTGCATTATCTCCAATTTAAATTTATCCACCTTAAATAATATATAGCAAACAAATAGCTCAGATTTAATAAAGAAATAATATAAAGCTCACCATGGCTTTTTCATTTTCAACAGATTTCATTGGTGGAGGTTTAAAAACCTCATGAATTGCTTTAAATACAGCATATGTGGCATTCACCAACACCCACACCACATCCACCATCAGAACACATAATGAATACCCTCGCAACAGCATGTTGCAAGGGAATACAGGATTCAGAACTTTCCGTAAGAACTCAAAGGACACCTGAAAGAACAAAAACTATTATAAGAAGGTAGTGCTTACAAAACTTAATGTTAATTGTTACTAAGTACTCACCATATTAAATGGTTTGTATAAAATTGTGATATATATTTAAAAATATAATAAAAGAAAAAGCTGGGTACTTTGGCAATGAATCACTTAACCGATACAATATATCGCTGTTAATATTATCATATGTCATGAACATTGAACACGGATCTCAAAAGTGAGTACACTGTACTTTTATTTATGATAAACTGATAACGGAATGATAATTATATGATAAACCAATTGCAATATTTAGATATGAAAACAAAAGTTAGTTCATTGTTAATTACCTTCAGTATCTAAGTTGGACATTTGCTAATAGGTTCTAGGTCAACGTTGTTATCTAAAACAATTATTCAACTAATGATACTTTCCGTACTTTGATAAGTTTCAAAAGTTTTAAAAGTTTATTTTCCTGTTTGCCCATTGGTTCATTGTTGGTATATAATTAAATACGTCAGTGTTGGCATTCGTATAGATTTCACGAACAGCAAATGTATTTAATTATTTATATTTTATTTATTTCTCGTTATATAAAATTATTGATCAATAGAAAGTAAGAACACTATCTCACTGCCTTATTAGGTAGTTAGTACGAATGGACGTACTTAATAAGTACTTAAAAAAGTTTATTTATAACTGAGTGGAATTTTTTTGAGATATAAAATATAGAATCATCTAGTTTTTTTAACCAATTTATTACATTTAAAAATGATAAACTGAATAATAGAATATATCTTTCATATATAGTCAATATTATTTCATTCCATTAAATTTCTTAATACTTTACCTCGTATAAGCAAATATATAGATTATACATAGAATAGATGAAAGAAACCAAACTCAATATTTTGACATTTTAGTTGCTTTCAAGTTTTCATAATAATGTAACTCAGAATTTTTTCATATAGCGTTTATAATTTCATAATATACTCGTATTTATTTTTTAAGTTTTCATGTTGTGATTTTTTATAACCACTTAGCTTATGAGAAAATTATAGGCTTATGCTGCATCACAACAGGACATTCTAGTCCAATCCATTTCTGCCTCCGTATTCCTAGTTTTTCTGTTTTAACTTGGAGTGTGTGTTCAGATTTATTATGCTCAATTAATGTATTTTTATTCAAAGTTATCTACATAACTGCTGTTTATAACAGGAAAAGAAAGTATTTGTCCTGATCGTAACGTTTTATTGTTTATCATAACTATTTTTGACTGTCATACAAGATACGTTATTTTGCTACTTTTGTAATTTTGGTTTTAATTTATTCATTAATACATTTAATGTTATAAAGTAGTATTTATTACATTTTTCTTAGATAACATTTCATATAATAGTCAGTGTTCAAATTTGTTGTGATGCACCCTATTGACTGTTAAAGTATTATAAAAACATTTAATACCAGTGTTAAATAAATATATTATTAAAATTATATATAAAACGTATGCGCAATGGCTTTTGTATACCAAGGGGATGCGGATTTAGAAGCAAAGGCAAAAAAAGGTATGCCATTTCATTAACCAGTTCACAATCAATAAGAGTATATAGTTAAATTATATTTTTTAAATAACTTCAGCTGCCGAGCGGATATCAGAGAACATGCATATAGTAGCTAATGAACCATCATTAGCACTGTACAGACTTCAAGAGCATGTCAGGAAGGCTCTACCGCCCATGGTGGAAAGACGAGTGGAAGTGACAAAACTGCAACATGAACTACAGGGACGTTGTTATGATGTTGAATACGCATTAAGGTATGAAAATGTTTGAATAACTTGAAAAATATTTAGCAAAATGTAATATAAACAATATTGGTATTCAGTTTAAAGACATTTATTTCTCCTAGAGAATACAAAAGTTCACTTATAATAAGAAATTACAATAATTTTGCATGCAAAGGCTACATTTAAAAGTCTACCTTAAGAATTTTATACAGTGAAATAAAATGTTTTGGGTAGTTATATTACACAAACATGTTTAGGTAGGGTTTACATTAACTTATAAATTAAAATACTAAATAATAATATAGATTTAATACCCATGAAAACTTGCCAGTAAGGCACTTTAGTTATTTTGTTTATAACATATATTATCTATACAATTCCAGTGCTGTAAAATCTATGGATGCCGCAGCCACCAGTTTCGGGAACATCCAGGAAATGTTAAAGCAATCTATATTCTTGAAACAACAGTTAAAGTATGAGGAAGCTAGAAGAAATAAAAAAGATACAACTTCTGTTTACAAACGTCTCTCTGCTCATATAGTGTTAGATCTCCCAGATTTATCTGAATTCTCAATGATAAGAGAAACCACTAATAGGATAGAAAATATGATGACCCATGCAAGGGGATCTAATGCTGAACTGCATAGGTCGCATACCACTTTGCACTAGATTTACTAAGAAAGAATTTTATATAAATAAAATTCATTCACCCATATAATTTATACTTATTAATATTTATCTCTTACAATAACTTCTAAAGAATTATCAATAATGAAGAAGATTATCAGTTAATGATCTTGAATCTCAAACAAATTGCAGTTATGTTTGAAATATGTTATTTATGTAACATCATGCAAAACTAGGTGGGTGCATTTGCTTTTTATGTGTATGTAAATAAAACACTATATTTAGTTAAGCTTTATTGCTTCTGATTGCCAAATACATTAATATTGCAAAAAATCAATGCTTGAATAAAATAAATGGTTTAATATCACTAACCTCGGTATTTTACTGCCTAACTAATACTAATATCGCCTGTGGCTATACTCACACAATGCACAGACAACAAAATTCATTTTCAATATCATAAAATAAACTATGCTTCTAATATAAATCAAAAATCTCATGGGTTGCGCTTAATATCATGCTTGCCATTACAATCTGGACTTAACAATATGTTCTTTAATCACTAACTTATTGTGCTTGTTATCATTGAATATTAAATATAAGAGTTCTATCATCTGGTCATCTTGACAACTTTTATCTGCCAGTGCTTTAAAGTTTAACCTATTCTATAATAAATATAACATGCATACTAACACAAGTGCTAGCATAGCAATAGAACTTAATAATAATTACAACAATGGCGTTATAAAATAAGCAAAATTTATAGAATCTATTTGTCAAATATTACTGACCAAGGCAATTCCTTAAGCTTGGTTAGATGAAATCGGGTTTCGAAAGGTATCAATTTGTTTATATCAGTTTTAGGTGGAGTTATCTGTTTCTTGTGGCGGAAAAAGTATTTGGTAAGACGGGATTCTTGATCTTCAGCAATGTGACCGCGTTCTTGATTTATTATGGAATTATATATGTAATCTATTGGTGTAGCAGAAACTATATAAGAATTCACTACATCGTTTTCCTCTTGGATAATTTCCATCTTTTCAAATATTGACGTGTAAGTTAGATCTTCATCTAGTAGTTGGAAGTTGACTAGTTTCTGGAGAAATTATTATTATTAATGATATTTTTGGTACATATTATCTGATGAAGCTAATTTGAGAAGCTTATATACAATACTTTTATGCATTTTTTTATTAAAAAATGCAGATTCATATAATTTTAATCGTTACAGAATAAGCTATACATACCTCTGAAGCGTCATTGATGATAAAGTTTGTAAAATATCTAGCGAAGATTTTCGCAACATTGGTTTCCTGCTTTAATTGCACTACGACAGTATAACCCTTATCGCTATGTCGTTCCACGAGTTTGTCTAACTGATCTATGTCATAGATTCGACCATTCACTAAAATTGCCAAACGATTTGACACAGGTAAAAGAGTCTCCACACTGAAACAATTACGAAGAATTGAAAAAAAATATGACAACAAATTAAGCATAACTTTTTTGGCTTCGAAACTTTGGACTGAGTTGAGATCTGATCCGTTGAATTATTATGTAAATAGCTTCATCCATTATTGCGTGACTCAAAAAGATTTTCTTGACAAACGAGGGTGTCTTCTCTATAAAAAGAATTTAGTAACTTTTACGTCATTGAAAGCCCTTTTTTGGGCTGTTACCATAAGCTTTGTTGGCTTTGACATCATCACTTGGAAGATTAATTGGTCTAAATAGTAATTTCCCTTAGAAATTCAGGCCTGAAGTGTTCGGGGGAGGACGAGATTTACATGTAACTAATGAGCCAGACATTATTTAGGGTGGTGTTGCAGCACGGCATGTGACAATGCTGGAGGTGCGTATCTACATGTGTGAAAAGTGTTTTTTTCGTGTGTTTACGAGGGCACACACATAAGTTTGGTGCGTCGTTATTTCATCCTCAGGGTCTAAGAAAACGTCTTTAGGACTGTCAATCAGTCTGTCAATAGGACACATCCGTTTCTCGTGAAGTACCCTTACAGGGTAGTTAATAGCAATGTCGTAAAACCAAGGCTTTAAAGTTACCTGCTCGAGGATATGATAATAGAATGCCCTCTTTGTCGCAAACTATTTAATATATGGTACATAGCTCGTCTCACGGAGAACTTTTGGTACTCTGTACTCTCCTCCAGTATCACAACTTCAGGGGCACCGATTACGGCCGCCGCGAAGCGTAAACGCGCCCTATCTTTAGCTTTCAAATAGCAAATTTGTCTGTCAGCTTGGTGGTAAAGTTCTGTTGAAAATAGTGACATAATTAAACAAAAATAGGTACATGTATAGGAAAGGTAATAAGTCCATCAAATTATTTACGATTATTTCGCAACTCACAATACTTAAAAATACAATCAACAGATATGCTATAACAAGAAAAGAATCGTCTAAATTAAAAAAAAACACTTATATCTAACTTAAACAGACTAATAGATTATGATTTTTTCTATTACTATTACTTTAAAGATTTACTTCAATTGAACAATCATCCTTAAATATGTGTAAATATAAAATGCATTGTATGAAGACGTAACTTAGGTAAATAAAATTTCACTGAATTAATGTTTTTTACAAAGATGGTATGGAGATATTTATTTGGTAGATGATACCCATAGCGTCAATATAATCCGAGACCAGATCTAAAGCCTTGCTTCGTGGGACGCCGCGCAGTACGGCGAGCATCTCCAGAGCGTTCTTCACACTCATCCAACCCGGAAGAGGCTCATGTTCACAGTTCAATGACGTCTGTTGACTGTACTAGGTATACAAATAACAGAAGTATTATTCATAAAGTAATACAATCAGAATGGCTCGGATATACAAAAGCTTTACAAAACATTATAGTATTGAATATAGTCTAAAACTTAGCCGTTTTGATGAATATTAAATTTCATTTACTAAGTGAGGATTTTGAAGAACAGTCCATTTTGATAAACTCCATAACTTCCCGTCAGTTGGTAATTGGTAACCTGCAAAATATATAGATTTAAACTTATAATTATTCTTACCTTCAATACTACTAATCTTTACTCACCAGCCAATATTTCACACAGCCGTAGTCTTCCATGTTCCAAGACACCCGAAATAGCCAATACTTCACCTTTACTCAAACTGAGATACACATTTCTTATCATAGATTTCTCATAGTGTCGTTGGGATACATTAAGTGCAAGTAAATGTGTATCACTCTTTCTCATACTTTTGGCTGAAACAAATTAAGTGTTTGTAATAATTCAAGAAAAGCAATTCTAAAGTAAATGACTTACGAATTTTCTTTTTCATTTCCTTTCTTATATTAACTACATTATTTATCTCTTGCCGAACTCCAACCGTTTCTCTTTCCCGCGGCTCTTTATTCGGGTATATCCACTTATATAAAATGAATCTCCAAATCCTTTGAATGTACTTATACTCCCAAAGTAATAATAAGATCATCAGAAAAAATGCTATCGATAGCATAGCAAAAGCTTCCATCACGACCCCGCCTCTTTGAGACAAATAAGACCTTCTCGAGAAACATTTCTGCAAGATTCCACACTTCCCTGAAATTTAAAAGTATAAAATTGTTATTTTACTACTTATTTTTATATAATAACTCCGACTGTTGCGAGCATTCATTTAAATAATATAGAAATTTTCGGATTAACTACGCGTTATTTTGTTCATTTTAAAACTAGATACTCCCGACATTTCGGTTACTTTGCAGTAACCGCTACCATGGGAAGACGAGATGAAAAATTTTCATTTAATTGTCTGCCTGTATATTAGTTTTATTAAATATTATTTTAATAACAACTTAAAAATACTTACGGCAGCATTTATGCAATGTCTTAGAGGAACAAAGATTTTTACGTTTAAACACTGTACACTCGTTGTTATAGAGAAATACTTTCTCAATTTTCACGAATGCGATTGCAATGTTGAATTGTGGCGAAACTGATATAAAATTCAAAGCGTAATTGAGAGCGTTCCCATACAATAGTTTTGCAAAAACTGTCGTTTCACCTTAATAAAAAACGTTTTAGTTTGACACATCGCTTAATAAAAGTATTCATTTAAGTTGAGTTCGTCATACATTATTCTAGAAATCTACTTACTGAAAAGAAGGTTTATCATTACAAATGTCATAGAATTTAGAGCTGCGTTAGGTCCAAGGCTGAACAAATAAGCTTGGGGTATACAGCCTATACAATAAATTATCAGCATTATAGGTACCACAGCTAGAAGTAAAAACGGGTTATAAAAATAGTCAAATATTAAAAAACATCTCACATGTTTTAAATAGACGTACAACAAAACACTGTCTTTAAAAAAGTATTCAAATACATATTTTGTTCCCAATCGATTGATAAAATTTGTTCATATACTAAATATCTTACCTAAATCGGTGTATCGGAACGTCATTGGTGCCACAAATATCATAACGGCAATCATTGCAGCCGTCATTAAAATCACCAAGAACGAGCAAAGAATTATATCGCATATAAACAACGTCAACCAATACCGAGCAGGAGAGAAATCCTTCGCATGACACTGTTACCAATTATTTAATACCTATTACCTTATTTTATTTCTATATATTCTATAAATTCCAAGTATGTAAATATATTCCAATGATTTTTTTCTAAATAAATGATTAAAATATTACCTGCATATGTCTAATAAACCCATTTTCTTTGGATGGTATAAGAGTAATGTGGGTTATCGTTAGTATAAGTAGAAACTGTATTAAAATTGGAGGAACTGCAACCTGCTTCATATACTGAAATTATTATAAAAAGGATGCCATTTAGCTGCTCCCATATTGATGCTTATTAATTCCCTAAATAATTACTTACAGTCGTCAGATCTAGTGCTAAGGGATCGTCGGTAACTTGTATGGTAGCGTCTAAAGCCGAGGTATAGTGTCTGAGAAGTGCCATGAAAGCTCTGGCGAGAGCGCGAGGAGCGGCACTGTGGTCAGTGTGGAGAGGACTGTACAGAACCCGCACCTACGAGTAGATTGCAGAAAAAGTACGTACAAATTGCAACTCCTACGGCTATTTAAGTAGCAAAAATTTTGTAGATTAATTTGATTTGAATGGAAAAGCATTTCAAGGTGTACCCATTTTGTATAAATTCAACCAAGGAATTATTTTAATTACAACAAATCTATAATTCTATTAAAATAATGTCGTATAAAAAGACGGTGCTTTAGCCATTCTTTACTAAAATTTCATAATAAATCTAAAACATTAACTCCTATTTAAAACATACTTTAATAAACTCTTAACACATACTCTAAGAGATCCATTCACTTCAGCGACATCCAAGCCGTAAGCATATAGAAACACATATTGTTGAGGGGAATCAATGGCTCGCGTTACCAAGTACTCCGTAATGCTCTGTTGGTAACATTAGGTATAGTTTCAGGAACAGTAAATAGCTATCACTAAAAATAGTATATCAGAAATACCTCGGGTGCCGCAAGAGCGGTATAAAACATATTCTCTATTTGTTTTTCCGTTGCCATTGTTTCAGAGAAGACGTAACTAAAAACATATATTGTTTAATTGTAACAATCGAACCAAGTGTTGATTTAAAAGCCTCAGATTAAGTTATTCTTACGCATTTACTACTGATTTCGATTCACTGGAGTTATCTGCACGTAGAATTAAATTTGTCTTCTGTTCAAGTGCTTCCACCGTTAATACCTAAAGCAAAATTTACGAACACTTTAGATTAACTTTGGTATGAATTAAATAACAGATATTTTACTTTAAAATACATTACCTCTCCATGCAAAATAGCCTTCGTTGCCCTATCTCTCTCTATTTCTCCCAGAACAGTAGCAAGTGAAATTCCAATAAAAATACCACTAGTAATTGCTAACAAAGCCTGTCAATCGATAACTTTGTTATAAAAGATTATATTATATAAATAATAAACAAATAAAACCATTTCGGTAGCTTTTAAATGAAATGCAAAGTAAAATCTTACAGTTATAAAGAAGTAAAGGCGATAGTGTCGGTAGTAAGCAACAAATTTGGCCCAAGTGTATCTCAAGTGAGTAAAGTTTCCCATGTAACTTTTGTTCCTCTTTATGGGTGCTGCTTCTGATAATATTACAAAGGATTATAATGATACATTTTACATATAACAAAATATTAATTTATCATAATAATGTATAAATTACCAGCAAGATGTGTTAACGCGGTTTTAATTCTTTGGTGATGTTCTTCGCTGCCATGTATGTTGGCCCTTGATTCAAAAATAGCTCTATAATAAAAAAATATGTTATAAAGCTATAATAATAATCAATAATTTTAATCGGTAAAATAATTATTCCAATTTGTATCATTAAAAAATGAAAGGGAAAAAGAAATAAAGTTTATGTTTTACTGAATATCATACCTATTACAAACTTCTTCCGAATCTGGTATACTTATATTCATAGACACTATTTCATATTTATCAGTGTTTTCGCTAAGGTCTTTAACCAGAGCCGCGACGTTAGCCGTGGGACTTGCTGGCAATCGGAGTATGAGTAAAGTGCCTAAATGAGCTCTTATTGTCGCTCCAGCTTCCGCGGTCCTTTTGAGAAGCTCATTAACGTCTTCATCATTTGAAAAGCTTCCACTTTTAAGGGTTAATCGAACTCTGTATTCGCGACCTAAAAATTTTTTATTATTTTATACAAAGATAAATTTTATTAGCATTATTATTTTTATATACCATATTTAAAAAACATATAAGCCGGTGATCCTCCAAATACTAGTATCTTGTTGTCGAAGATAAATACTCTGTCGGCATATTCGAGTAATATACTTGTAAAACACATTTTGATAATTGTTATATACTTCTTGTATTGCTGCAAGAAGAACTAGCTGTAAATATATGCAATGAAATATATATTTATTTCTTATATATGCACTTGCCATGATTTTATCTCTCATTACTGAATTGAATGCCGAGTCGTAACCAAATGATGGTATGATGATGATCTGAAAAAGTTATTTTATGTCAGTATTTACATGTGATATCAATCATGTAAAAACCAAAAAAATTAATAGAATGCTTTGTATTTTTTATTTTTAACTAGCTAAGTCTATAAATAAGATGGTAAAATTATTAAAAACTGTAATATATACATATAATTAAAGCTGTTATTGTAGCAAAAAAAACTACATCTATTTATCAAAGAAATTAATAAAATATTTAAGTAAAACAACCCTTGGCTCCAACAGCATGGCGATGGCCCAACAAAGCTGAGCTTGGTAATAAACGCCAAGATTGCGGACGTATTCATGGCACACTGATTGTAGTTCACACTCTGCTAACAAACGTATCGACCTTAAATGCTCGTACTCGGATACGTAATCCGAAGACTCGTTCCACAGACAAATCTAAAAATCACATCTAATTGATAAACAAAGAATTATTAATGATAATCGTTTTATGTCTATGACTACTCGATTTTCATAATGCGGCAACCATATATTGTTCTAGGTAGTTTGATCAGTGTTGTTTGCAGTTTTATTTTTTCACTAGTTTTTGCCCGCGACTTCGTCTGCGTTAATTTCATCATTAGTAATATATGTATAGCTGACCAGGCGAACTCTATTCCGTCCTAGAAGCCATAAATAATCAGGTTTTTCCTGTTTTAATCGAACATGATTGACATATTAGTTAGTTGTCAAATCTAATGTCAAAGAAAACATTTGTATGGGGAAATAGAAAAGGGCTGTTTTTAGGGTTTTCCCGAAAATGAATAAATTTTTCTCACCTTTTAAACCTTCCCTGAACCTCCACAAACATTTTAAGACTAAGATAAGATAAATCCGTTCAGCCGTTCTCAAGTTTTAGCGAGACTAAGGAACAGCAATCCATTTTTATATATATAGAAGAAGAAGATAGAAGATAGAAGAAGAAGATTATTATCGTGTAATTAGAAGCCAGATATTTTATCTTAAATATTTTTTCATACAAAGATTAGGGTTGTTACATTATTGCACCGTATTAACGATATCAAATATAATGATAAACTTACAGAACAATAAAACGTGAAATGTTCTTGTACGGTGAGATCGTCTATCAGACAACCTTTGCGATGGCAGTAACCCAGCATATGAGGCACACTAACAAACATCTTTCCATGAGTTAGTTCTTCGCCTAATATGTTTATAGAGCCTTCGTCAGGATCAGTAAGCCCTGTGGGGAATTTAAAAGTTATAGAGAAAAAGTAAGGCCACTACTGACTACTGTATACAAATTGATATTTACCCATTAACAGATCTTCCATGGTCTGAATCATTTTACTTTGAATGAATTCAGAATAGAGCATTGTGAATTCACCTCGGTATATATCTAATGTTATGTTACTCAGCAGAGAATTTCCCATAATACTCTAAGGAGTAAAAAAATAAATTTTAATAGAAATAAAAATCATAAAGGAGATTCATATTGAAATATGTGAAGGCATTAACAGTTTTTTTAAAGTCAGTCAACCCTTATGCGAAATAAAGCGAGGGTACAGCAAGTATTCAGACACATATCGCGAAATCAAAGTTCATGTGACATCAGCGTGGAAACGTGACATCTCCAATCCCAAGAATACACTGAGCAAAAACTACACATAATAAAATTCCTGAACTGTATGTACAGAGAAAACCGCCTTTTGTAATTTCAGTAGTCTTTAAGATCTTAAATAGATAGCTCAAGTGACACAGAATAGTTTATTTGGTTTGAAGTAAATTAGCGACATATTTAAAAAAAATCGTCTGGCCTTTGGCAGGTCTGCTTTTTATATTATAATATTAAAAAAATCTTATTGATAAATATCCCACGAAAATTAATAGAACTATTATAATCATATTACCTTTGACATATTACGTATACTTATGGCTTTAGCGGTCAATTCATCGACTTCTTGTAATTTTTCGTGCTCCCGTCCCGTGGGATTTTTAATTTGATGCAATTTAGAAAAGTCCTAAAATTTTGTTTTTATAATTAACCTATATAAAATAATAAAATTATTTGCACTTCCATCTTAAGTGTAGTGAAGCAGTTACTAACCTCGGCAGATTTAAAAATGATAGATTTCCATGAAACCTGTCCTCCGATGGCCCCTGTTTTTAGAGTTCTTTGCAACATCATCAAAATACCGAAATACAATGCTATCATAATAAACCAAAACAAAATTGTGTATACTAGTGAATTGCCTTCCCAGCGCCCTTCATCTGAAATAAAATAAAATTAGAAATTAAGGGTTTCTGGAATTGTAAACATAGCGTCCAGAAAATATATAAATAATAGACTTCAAATATTTTTACTAACGTCCAGTTTGCAACAAAGCGAATTCATTGAATCCGTGCATTAATCCCAAAGGCGGTATGATAAGATGTAAGAAAAAGGTTAAAATTTCATGTTTGAGGTCAACGCCGTGGTGTACTATCAACTCCGCAAGAAACGTCTGCAGAAGTGTGAATAATGTTGTCCATGTTGCAGCTACAATTGCTGTTAAAAAAAATTATATTACATATATAAAATCTCGCATAATAGATGTAAAATAAACAAAACTAAGAAAATATATTAACTTTGAGTATGAAACATGGCCATTATCAAAGCTAGCATAACCATCACGGAGACATATGCTAGCACAAGTATAAAAGTAAAGAGTAGATGGACCCAACGGAAGATAAGTATGAGTGTGATGCTTGCGAGTAAACAGATAGGTAGGGCCGTAAGATAAAAGTAAGTTAGCCAGCCAATATACATCGAAGAGTAATCCACACCACGAATACGCAGGGCTCGCTACAAAATACGAGTACAGTTTAAGGCTTTAAAACTAGCGATTCAATAATTTAAATGCGATTATTGTTCCCAAAAATCATACTTTATTAGTCATTTCAAAAAATGTACATGAAAAATACATCTTACTTTAAATTTATGACTTGTTTCATATATAACCAGTGACTGAGTCTCTAACACCGGCGCTAACAGTGCCAGCGTGAAACATAACAAGATTGATGATATGTGCTTACGCACTCGTTCATGTTCCATCAACGGTGACACAGGCATTGAGGCTAAGCTTAGCTGTGTATTAAAAACAAACAATAACTTAAAAAATCAAGAAATAAAATACATAGTTTCCTTAGGCTCTAAGGATTGATTAAATGTAATGTAGGGTGTGATTTTATATAATATACAATCTCTTTATTGCTCTGTAAATTTACATGGTTATTTTACATATAAAATCATTGTTCACAATGGCGGGCTTATTTCTAAAAGAAATTAGATCCTATAAGATAGTGTTATACAGCAGGTATAAATAGTGCAATATGAGATGCTCTTAATAATATAATATAAAAAAAAAACAATTTTAATATAATACATAATATAACAATTACATAAATATCCATAATATAATAAATACTATAATAATAAATACATATATACTTACACTACATCCAAATACATAAATATTATATATATACAACAGTAAAAAAGATATTAGTTAATTTGACAAATTTATGATAATTGTGATAGAAAGTGCTCTTTTACTCTTAGTAATAACAAATGTATAAATAACGACGTTTGCAATATGATAAAAAAGAATATGTTCGATTCATCAAGTAACTACAGGCCTTATAATTCGAACCTGGTATACAGGAGTTGTTCCGCTAGCATACTGCACTATAGCCTGACTGATTGCCAATTGCACAGCGAGTACGCCACTTCGTAAATGTGGGCTTGAGGATATTTTTTTCCCTGTCGCATATTGAGCTCGCTCCGTACTACGGATGCTGAATTTCCACATGTTGTTCTCCTACACTCAAAACGATATTAAGTCTTCATTTTTATTTTTATAACAAAATCTCCTTTCTAAATATTGAACAAATAATATGTGTTTAAATGAACCTAATTTTTTTGGATTTACTACGCGATTTTTTATTTTTGACTATAAACTACATACTCCCGACGTTTCGGCTACTTTACAGCAACCGTTATCACGGGCGGACGAGATGTGAGGGTCTGTTAGTCGGCCTTGCTATTTTATCACCTACCGCTATCGATTTCGAGGACGGTGCGTAATAAAATAACGATTTCCATCTTAGATCTCATTAAATAATATGCGTATTGTACTACTAATAACATGTATTATATAAATGTTATAACGAATAAAATGTTGATATGTACCGTTCTCTTCCAAATAATCCAAATAACTGGGTTATTTAAGCGGACCCCTCTAGATCTATTGTACAGAATATTATTAAGGTCATCTTCCTTGGGCGCACTGATAATTTCTGTACAAAATAATTTGTTATTATAAATTAGTTCGTATATTACAAAAGTTGCTTAAGTATATGGATATTGTTACCATTTGGACATTTAACCATTTGCGTTTTACCAAAAGGATCTATTTATTACAGATCTGGTAGTTAAATAATATTTTTTTTGCTATAAGGAATCTTAGATTAGAACTTTACCTGTTTCCAAACTGTCACCAACGGTGTTCATGATATCATTAAATGGTTGAATATTAGGAGCGTAACCCAGGATGTTTTTCTTGTTCAAGGAAGCCAAGATATCAGCTGAAGTAAGAGGCGGCTGTGGGATAGCTTGTAAAGGAGTAAGAAACACCGGCTTCGCTACTAAAATAGCACAGAGATATAACAAAATAGCCAAGAGAGTTTCCACAGAAAGAAGACGCCATCTGCGCCTGTGATGTAAGAATTATGAAAATTGGAGGCTGACTATACATGTGATGACTTAAAGATTATCAAAAATTTTCTTTACGACTTACTGCCGCTGTAAATACGACTTCCAGATAAGAGCATTTGTGTGTCGTTGAAATTTACTTCGTATTGGTTTAGTTGCTTCTTCGACGGTCATCGTTTTTAGATTTTAATAATACTTCAGGTACTCTTCGTACCATTCGTTTTGATCTTTCAAATAATTTTGTGTAACATAAAATTGTTGTGTCTAAATGTTATCATATATGATATATCTAAATCATATAGATGAAATGTAAATATTAGTTTTATTATACCAATTTACATGCAATAAATATAGTATAGAAAACTGTTAATCATTTTCATATTATAAATCATGTGAAGTTTATGACGTCATTTTGTTTTCTTTTTCACAGTCGATTTTCAGCCAGGTATATGCAGCTCATAAATGTAAATTGATATTAACGTACAATTTCAACATGTGACAAAATTTTATTATTAAAATTTATTATAATAATGAAGAGCCACTGCTTAATTTTGGTTATTCATATACGCTATAGTCCTGTATAATAAAAGGTGAAATCTGCAGAATATCATATACCTATATAAGATATATATTATGAAATCAGGAATAACAATTTTTATCAATTCATGTCTGCAAGTAATAGAATAAAGTAGATGGTGATAAAGATGTAAAATTTTGGCAAAAAGCAAAAAAAGAATTAGCTTTAATTTAACTAAGTGTAAACCAGCAACTTTGAGACGAAAACTTCTCTTTTCTTTTAGATGAAACTACTCTTAAAAAACCGTATTTTTGGTTGTAACTTTAAATTAAACCAGAATTGTTCCCATGTTATATTCTACGGACATGATAAATTAGTAATTAAATGAATACCTTAATAATTAATTATTAATTAACCACATAATGTAAGCGTTTAGTTATATTATTTATTTCAAAAAGTTTCTTTAATATAGCAACTCATATTCAATGATTTTCTTTTAAGTACTCTTAAGGAGACAGATATTCTTAAACATAGTTCTTGTATTCCACTGTTATTTACTTAGTTCAATGTATAGTTTTTCTCTGCTTTATCTTTTAATTCAAATTCCACTAACCTATTTCGATTGTTAAATTTAGATTTTTTAAAGGTTTTTAAATTATATTTTGACTATAAAAAGCGTATGAAGTATTCTTATACTATGTTTGTGCGATTTTATTAGGTTCCTTATATACAAAAACAAAAAACTACATACCAAGATTTTAGGAATTACAAAATGCATTAAAAAACCAATAAGATTATTGTCGCCTGAGTGAATGAAACATGGTTCCCTTATTTAAGGTGTAAATAATGCATTCATGATTTTACTGCTTACTTTTTTCATTTATTATTGTATAAATCTAATTTACCTGTAGTAGCTAAGTCACTTAATTGAAAGGTATATTTTTGTAAAATTAGTCATCGCAACTCATCTTTAATGGTACTAGATACTCATTATATTGTCTTTTGTTCACCTCAGTTAAGTTATTTATTTACAAAAATAATTTATAAGTAACTGAAAACGAACGTTGGCGGCTAATTTAAATTAAATTAAAATTTTAAAACACTGACGTTTCCACGAGCATGATTATGTAGAATAAGTTACAATTCTTACTGAAAACAAGCGTATGAACAAATATTTAGAAGGCAATATAATTAATATTAAAATATTTGTACCTTTTTTATATATAGTGCACTGTACCATTTATATACACTGTACATATTCAAGCTCGTTAAATATGTGTGTGTATTTATATGTATACGTACATGCATATTGAACGTGGTACATTCATATATCTCACACATGTTTATAAAAAGTGCAACTCTGGGATGTATAATTTTCGATATTACAATATTCTAAAATTAGTACAAATATACGCTTGAGCCTTTCAAATGGTATTGCAGTGTATACTTTTAAACCGTTTTTATGTTTCAGAGATAATTACACCATGACATTTATGTTCCAAATTACTTTCTAATAATCCAAAACACATTATAAGCATTGAATATACTATGTTTTATATTTATTTACTTGTTAAACATATTCAAAACCGCAATATTGAAATTTCAATAAGGAAAAGAACACTTCGGATACATAACAACAAAATTTTGCTACATGCTAAATGTTAAATATACACAAAATGATGGTATATATCTAGCCAGTTGTAGATCAAATACAGCATTGCTATCAAAAACCATGGCGCGGTTACAGTTCTTATTAAGTGTTTTCTTGACTATATTTCTTGTGTTTGCATGCGCAGGTAAGGTTCTAAAATATTGCACCTTTTTATACAAGCATCACTTATGACAATCGTAATGAGCTAACTAGATAGATGTTTAATGAAATTATTATATAATATTTAATATTTATATTTAAAAATCAATAAAATATACTGTTTTTAAATGTACTACTATAAAACTATATTCAATTTATTCGTAATAATTTAATTGCAGAACTGAGAACACGAAGGTTCGCTCAGTTCAGTGAAGCGAGTGCTTCAGCACGTTCTTTCGGAGGTCATGGTAGAGGTTTTGGACCACAGTTCGGACCTCCTGGACCTCACTTTGGACCTCCGGGCCCACCTGGACCACACTTTGGACCTCCCGGCCCACCGATACCATTCAGACCACACTTTGGACCACCAAGGCCACCACCTTTTGGACCCGTTTTCCCGGGCCATGGTTCTGGACGCAGCATTAACATAGCAAAAAGTATTAGTATCAGCACTGGAGGAAGTGGCTCAGCAAGTTCTCAAGCAGGATCACAATCTGGACCATTTGGAAAGTAACCACAAAAAAATTAGTCAGTAATAGATAGGTTACAAAATAGTAAGATGCCATAATGCCATAGTAATTTTGTTACAATAATAAGTCGAGTAATAAGTTCCAGTTAGCTATTTGTATTATATTGTTAGTGTCATAAATCACAATCTGTTTTAGTTTTTACACATATTGTGACACAGAATGTTTAAGTTTAATATACATTTAATAGTAATTAAATAAACGCCTTTATTTCATTCCACAAACTCCTTCGTGTTTCCTCCACACCAATATTCCACCATTCCAGTGTGAACAAAACCCTAGCATTCGAAATAGAATCAGCACTCCTTTGAAGATATATTTAAAGACATATTAACTTCTATATTAGTTGTGTGATTTTAGGAAATGTTGATCAAAATAGTCTCGTAGCATGAAACATAATTAAAAAATAAAACAGAAATATTTCTTATTTAAATTCATCGCAAACCCAATACACTTGAGCGAAACTTAAAAGTTTAATTAGAATAGAAAAGAATTAGAATAGAATTCCGATAATAAGGATAGTTGACCAAAAAATGTCATGAGAATATAAATATAAAATATATAAATAGGATTTCGTTGATATTCTCAATAATTATGCTTTACTTTCATGTTTCCAAATAAATTTGGTTATATATATTCATGATAATGATAGGTAATAACCTAAGTTGATTTTTCCTTGTGTTATTGACGGCCTGGCAAAGTTCTAGAAAAAATTGGAAACCTACTTAGCCGTATTTTATAATAACCAAAGCTTATAACCCAAAAATATATGATTGCTGCGATGTTAGGACATCGATGCCATCTGAGATTGTGAGGTATCAAGAATCTTCTGGTTCACAAGGCCAGGTGTTCGTTCTACGGAATCACCAGTCTCTCATTATTTGATGTTTTATCCATACAATGGTGTTGCCCTGGTTGTGTTCGTTAAAGTCTTGATATGCTTTGTCTTGTTGTATACATATCCCATTTATAATGTCATGTTAAAATATATTTCCTTTTTATTAATAATATTGTTTGTTTTCATTTGTTCTAATAAAAGTGGCGGAGACTCAACATTGTCGTGTCAATGTACTGGAATTGGCTTAATGTATCTTCTATATATATAAAAATGGATTGCTGTTCCTTAGTCTCGCTAAAACTCGAGAACGGCTGAACCGATTTGGCTTATTTTAGTCTTGAAATACTCCTGGAAGTCCAGGGAAGGTTTAAAAGATGAGAAAAATTGGAATAATTGCCTTGAAAACCCTAAAAACAGCCCTTTTCTATTTCCCATACAAACGTTTTTTTTTTGACATTAGATTTGACAACTAACTAATATGTCAATCATTCTGTTTCATTGAAACAGGAAAAACCTGATTATTTATGGCCTCTAAGACGGAATAGAGTTTTCTTGGTCAGCTATACCTACATATATTACTCTTGACCAAACTAACGCGGACGAAGTCGCGGGCAAAAACTAGTAATAGATAAATATTAATGTAACTAAGAATAATTTATTGAGTGTCCCTCACAGTGAAGTAGTAACAATATTAAAATAAACAAATTATTACACTACCTTTATGTATGTTTTGTTTGCTACATATAAGTGACATCTTAGTTATATAGACTAGCTGTTGTCTTGCGGCTTTGCCCACATATTAAGGCGGCTTTGAGATATACCTTATCATTCTTATGAGAGTTGATTCGATTACTCAGGGATCCTTTCATCAGTTTCTGACTTGGTAACAATGAAACAACCTCAAAAAATATTTTAAAAATTAGCCTCTAAATGAAGGCGTTATGAACATAACTCGATTCACGTTGTCGGCACAAAAGAAGTCCAAGTTACTCTTTATTCATATAATCACTGAGTGTGAAATTTCCATTAAAATCAGTCCAGTAATTCCAGAGATAAGCGAGAACAAACAAAAAATCAAACAGAATATACAGACAATAATTTCAAAAATTAGTTGATATATTAGTTACCATTTATATTCGTTTAGTGAAAAGCTGTTAAATGAAACTAATATTATTCGGATTAGGCGATCACGAGATAAGAATGTCTGCCAGTTGGTCTTGTTATTTATCATCAAATTCCATGGATTTCTTAACTATCTGACGCACTGCTCCTGATGTCGACAGATTGCGCTCACGGTGTCCCGAGGTCCTGCGGTGTAATCAAGGACGTAGGATTTTATATTTTTAAGGAGGGGGTCCCAAGTGTTGGATAGTTTCCAGACATCTTCTTTATTGAAATTGGGATGTTTTTTAATTTCAATGTACCTGTCTTCACGAGCGAGGATTCGTGGTTTAGCACACCGAATGTAGAGGCGTGGCTTGTCCATTGTTTGCTTATACGCTGCTGACTTCGGAGCGCTCCTATTTTTGATATCTGGGATTTGTTCTTTAACCCTTGTACCGATGCTCCCCTTTGTCTGTTCAATGTATGACAAGCCACAGTTGCAATCGAGTTTGTACACAGCTTTAGATCTCATTATGAAAAGCAATTAATTTGAGTTTATATGTATACAATTTAATTTTATTTATAACTGTAGCTAAAGGCTTATATTTCTTCTTGTATTCAATTATTTGAGAAGTAAGAAACAAAGAAGAAACCTGTCAATTAATATGGAGTAACCTCTAATTATATACGAAATTATCATACAAATTAAGCACACTCTTATTTCATTTATAGACATATTTTGATGTGCATTAAAATCTTTATATTACAGCAATCTGTCAGTCAGTATGAAAGATATCAAAAACAGCAATACAGAGCTGTTCAAAAAGACTAGCGAAAAATTTTAGTCTTAAAACAATTATATTAAATCGTATTTCGATTTAATAATATTAAATCGTATATAATACTTTTACACTCTCACCTATTAAAGATTTGTTTACCTTCTCCGTACAAAGGGAGAGTAACAATTTGTTACATTGTTGTATTAATAAAATATTTTTCGGATATATATTCAAATTATTTTCCACAGACAGAATGTTAAAATTCATGAACCTTCTGTAAGTCAAAGAAAATTTCTTTAAAAACTTTTACAAAGAATCTTAATCGTCAAGTGTACATTATATCGGAATAACTGTTGAATTCGTTTCAGTAAATTCATAATGTTTGCAAAATTTTAAGAAAATTAATATTTCTTTTATCGGTTACGACTTCATTTCAATGAAATTGTGTCATAAATTATTTTTAGTAAATAATGTAACTGAAAACTAACATCAATGATCCAATTATTTAAATATATAATTTATATAAAATTCAAACTTTAATTCAATTTAAAATAAAAAATAATGACATAACCTTCGTCAACAATGTTAATTTATATAGAAAGTTAAATATGGCAGATTAATTATCAAGCAAACATAGCTTGTATTTTCCTAAAACTAGTGTAATATTTGTATAAATAATTCGGCGATCCTACAAGGATCTTGTTCCACGAATTTATTTATTAACACTTATACCACACGTCTTGAGCAGTATATATTACGAATTTTACAATACATCTCATTAGACAGGATTTGAAAATAACAAGATGAAGACTACAGCTCTCCTATGTTTGTTTTGTGTTATAACTGCACATTGTGCGACTTGGGGTAAATATTTTGATTGCAATACGTATTAAAATCTATTTATGTTTTATTCATATTTGATTGAATAAATCATGTTTTATTTTTAGGTGGGACATTAAATCGAGTAGTCAGATCTCCCCCATCTAATGGAGACCCTCCGGTTCTATTACAAACAAAAAACTGGAGTGGCGTTGCCCGAGGTCCAGACGGTGCCCGTGGAGTCTTCAGTGGAGCTGCAGCTGCAGCTAAAAGTCCTGGCCCAGTAGTTGATGAAGCTTTTTCACTGGCAGCTGCTGCGCCTCCACCAGTGCAAGAAAAATTGGAAGAGCGTTTTGGAGGACCACATTTTCATGGCTATGGACATCATGGTCACTTTCACAGAGGTTTCGGTGGTTTCCCAGGTGATCACTTTCATCATAGGAGTTGGGGACCTTACAGAAAAGCATTTGCAACATCAGAAGCATTTGCTGACAGTGGTTGTGATGATGATAATTCTCAAAATGGTTTCGTTGGTGGGCAACAATCTGGAGCATCGGGCAATTCACAAGCCAATTCTAATACCGGAGGGGAATCTTATAGTGGTAAACAAAATTACGTTTCCAGTGCACAATACAACTCAAACACTTTTAAGAAGTCTGAAAGCCTTGGAAACGATCAATATCAAGGAGAATCTGCTTCAAAACAAGATCAAACCTTAAATGTTGAATCAAAGGCTAATCAGCAAGATGGAGCGGAATTAACATCTTCGGCTCAATTAAAAGCAGATGTAAGTGATGGACAACAAAGTGAATCGTTGAACAACGGCTTCGGCAAATCGCAGGGTTCAGTAAATGATGAAAGTAAAGTTGATAGCAGTTCTCAAAGCCAAGGCCAAAAATTGGAATCTCACAATAATAACTTTGGAAGTTTCCAAAGCTACCAAAACGAGGATGGCCAACTAAGTCAGTCTCAAAGTAAGAGCGTTGGTAGTTTCCAAAACGGTGGTGGTCAAAGAGAAAATTCTCAAAACAATAACGTCGGCAATTCGCAAGATTTCCAAAACAGTGATGGCCAACAAAGTCAATCTCAAAACAGGGGCGTTGGTGGTTCCCATAGCTTCCAATACGGTGGTGGCCAACAAAGTCAATCTGAAAACAAGGGCTTAGGTAGTTCCCAAAGCTTCCAAAACGATGATAGCCAACAAAGTCAATCTCAAAACAGGGGCGTTGGTGGTTCCCATAGCTTCCAATACGGTGGTGGCCAACAAAGTCAATCTGAAAACAAGGGCTTAGGTAGTTCCCAAAGCTTCCAAAACGATGATAGCCAACAAAGTCAATCTCAAAACAGGGGCGTTGGTGGTCCCCATAGCTTCCAATACGGTGGTGGCCAACAAAGTCAATCTGAAAACAAGGGCTTAGGTAGTTCCCAAAGCTTCCAAAACGATGATAGCCAACAAAGTCAATCTCAAAACAGGGGCGTTGGTGGTTCCCATAGCTTCCAATACGGTGGTGGCCAACAAAGTCAATCTGAAAACAAGGGCTTAGGTAGTTCCCAAAGCTTCCAAAACGATGATAGCCAACAAAGTCAATCTCTAAACAAGGGCGTTGGTAGTTCCCAAAGTTTCCAAAACGGTGGTGTCCCACAAGGGCAATCTCAAAGCAATGGTGTTGGCAGTTTCCACGGCGTCCAAAGAGGTGATGGCCAACAACCTCAATCTCAAGATAATGGCTACGGAAACGCTCAAAGTCAAAGTAGATCCAATGGTTTTGGTCAAAGTCGTGGTAGCAATTCTTTCTCTCATATAAATAAGGGATACGGTGCTAACGGATTTAGTAATGGCGGTTCAAGATCTTATCTTAACAGACAGGACTCCTCTTCTTTAAATGGAGCCAATGATGGAAGATATCACTATGGCAAAGCCGGTGGTAGTGCTAGATATCAAGCTCAAGATAGCAGTTCTGCAGGCCAATCTTCAGATTATGAAAAAAGCTTAACAAGCCAAGAGAATACTCAAACAGGGATACCCGCTGAAGTTGGTTCCTCTGGTCACGAAGATATTCAATCTACTCTAGACGGAGCTTTCAAACTCGTATCTCAGGGGCTGGAAGCATCACAAAATACACCATGTAGCACTTGTCAGAAGAGTAGTTATGCGTTCAGCAATGCTAGAAGCAACAGTGGTTCTGCAGTCGCTCTATCCATCGGAGGTTAATAGTGTCATTTCATTTATTGTGGGAAGATTTTTACGAAGTTGTCATTGTATAATTTTTATTTAAACTAATTGTTGATTTACCAATGAAAATAAATTAAGTTTGCGTTACTATGCCTATGTTTTATTGAAAATAATTTTACTCCATAGACAAAGTTAAATAAAATATTTTGTAATCTTATCAAGTCCAAGTCTTTATTATTTTGTAGGAAAAAAAATTAATATTACATTTACCGAATCTAGAGAAGAATATTAGTTTCTAACTTAGAATAACAGACAGCACGATACATACTACATGAATTAAAATTCTAATTTTTCATCGTCGTCAACACTATTAATCAAATAAGAAAAATTTTAATATTAATACACTGAGAATTGTATGATAACAAAATTTAAAACTGCAGTCTTATAAAAAAAACTAGCTACTGTATGAAAACATGAGAAACAATAAGCTCATAAGAATTGGTTATTATTATATGAAGCAAGACTCGACAATTTAATGAAATCCATTTACTATTTCAACTTGTTTAAAAACGAAATAGTATTCAACCGTTTACTGATTCATGAGTCATTGTAGTCATTTTAAAGTAAGCCAGCTGAATATTAAATACCAAGTTTTTCTTAAAAACTCAAACTGATAAAGTATTCAACAGTACTCAACCCATAAAGTGAGTACATGTTATTACAGAAGGCTTAATCCAAGTTGGCCTCGTCAAACTACATTTAAAGTCTTAATAGATGTTTATTTATGAATATTCGTGTATTAATTATTACGTTGTAGTAATTAAAAATGAGTAACGGAAGAAAAAAATACTAAAATGAATAATGACTAAAGTAGAAAATACAAATTCAAAGAGTTTCTTTACAGTATGAGTGTTTTTTGTTCGTTAAATTCTTTTAAGTTGACATTAATCAAATATTAAATGTATAGTAGATGTAGGTATAATTATTTCATATATGATATATTATTTGTATAAATTTGATTACCTACTAATACAAAATGTTTAACCAAATACGTATTTTTCATAAATTCTAAATTAAAAATATATAGACAGTTTAGATATAATGTTGCCCTTTATTCTTAATTTCTATTAACCAAATAATAAATTTAATATTACGAATCATTCGGATTTTTGATGACGGATGGTAATGTTTTGCAAAAATAGTGTATATGGAAATCACTGTTTGAATTAACAATATTCTCTGAAGCTCTACTTTACACCTACATAAGCGTCAAACCTAATTTTTGGAAATTTGTTTTTATCGACATTTGTATAATAAACCCAAATATAATATAAATATTTTATTTTCTCATTGCATCATACATTAACAGTATGACGTGAATAGCATAATACGAGTACGTCCGTAGTTACATACTAATTTATTAAACTACATACAATCAGTCATTCGCATAATAGAGCCAAATATCTAATTATTATATGAATATTTAGAGTAAAAATTTTGTCAAACATATCAGATGTACTAGCACTATTATAATACTATTTTATATATAATAATTAAAATAAGCTTTACATGTTACATTACATAAAAACATAGTAATAATTATATTTTACAAATAATTAATAAGCATATTTATGTATTATCTCATTTTCACCTGCAAATCTTTTGATTGGTAAAGTATTGACATTAGATCAAAACATAGACATTTGAATCAAATATTGTAGACCATAAGGTTATCTTTAAAATGTAATGGATGTATTTTCTTTCTTTATTTCCAATATTTTAAAAATGGTGGATCCAAATAGATAAATCAATTAAGGAATACATTTAAGAAAAAAGATTGAAATAGGTGAAATTTGATCTTATTAATGTTTGTAACAAAGTAATCTGTGTTTTTTTTTCGATATTATCGCATAAGATTTCTTCTAAACTACAACTATTCTGAATCCGACAACAATTGATGATTTTTTTATCATCCTCAATCTGACTGAACTGGACATTTAATTACCATTAAGTAGGATAATACCTATTTTTATCTGTCTAGTAGGTAAAATTCCACTTAACACTTACTATCCCAGACATAGACATAGAAATACCTTTCCATTCTTTGCTTCATGTAATTTAAGAACAAATTAAGTAAACATTATGTCTAAGTTAATATTTATAAGAAAAAACACTTTTATTGTTCAATATGTGGATATAACTTACCAAATAATTGCAATAATATTAAAATAAAACCAATTTACTATGTACGTGTTCCTTGTAATTCATAGTAAATAATTATACAATTTTATCAAGAATTTTGCTTTAAAATGATTAATAAAATAAAATAAATTTATACCTGTCTATGTTCTAAGAATTTTTTATACAAAATATAAGTAAAAATAATTGCATTATCCAGTTTCGAGTTATTTAATTTATCTCCACCTTCATCTTTATTCAGTTAATATTCTACAAAAATAATTACAACTTAAACAGTGTTAATTCGGCGTGATATCAACTAAACTATTATTGATATATAACATTAAATAAAATAAGTTTAGTTTTATAATGTATTCATAACGTACAGTTATAAATAAATATATTCCATGATTTTTATAACATACTTTTGAATACTTACATTCTATAATACAAACCAGTAAAAATATATATTGAAAAGGTAATTTTATAATTTCATACGTTAAAAGAATTTCTCATTATAATATGTCTATGAGACATAAATTATTTTGAATAACAATGGTTAAGTAACAGTCCTAATGACCTTGGGGTTTTACATCAAGAATTATAAAAACTAGACTTAACTTGTCAAACGTATGTAATAACCCAAATTTTTATAATAATTCACACATTGACCACACATACCCAGTCAATTAGCACGTGTGACGCCGAAAATTCTCGGATACAAATTACCAGTGTTTATATATCGTCTGTATATAATTGTAAACTACCACCGAAGATCACACTTCAACGATGTTGCGACTGGGTATTGCAGTTTTGGTGCTTGTTTTATCAGCTGAATGCTGGCCGGCGAGTAAGGAGCGTAAGTACCCTTTGTAAATGCATAACTTACAATTTATTCAGCTTCGTTTTAAGATGAGCCTTCTATATTCTTACACCTAGTAGTTGAGAAATAATCATTATCTCGTGAAATGCTATCTTCAGATGGGGTGCTATTGGAGAGATTGAGACGATCACCTCACTATTGTGGTCCTGAGGATTCTGAGCCGGTATGGCCACGGCCACAACCACCTCTACCACCACCACCGGCACCACGACCTCCTCCACCATCCCACGAATTCCCCCTACCAGCTCCAATATTCCCACCACCGTTTTGGCGAGGACACCACCATCATCACCGCTTCTACAACGAGCCTCAGAGATACCAGGAACAGAACATCAGAAACTTGGAAAATGAAAGCAACAAACCCTGTGATTCTTGCAATGAAAACAAAAAGCCAAAAAACACAGCTATCAGCAACGCACAGAGTGAAACTGGGAACGCGGTCGCCATAGCTATAACAAGATCTAAAAAAAATTAATAACTCTGTAAAACTTTAATCATATTTTCGATTAATATATTTTAATAATCATAAAAATAATGTGTAAATATAGATATACTAGTATTCATGTTTAATTTTAAAAAAGCAATTATGTGGTCGGATAAATTAATAGCTGTAGATTTTTTATGTAACTTTCAATTACTATAATTTAAATATTAAATAAGTTTCTAGTATCTACATCATTATGGAAATACTAATTATATTGTATCTATTCTAAACTATTAAAAATTGATTTATAAAAATATCAAATATTTTGTTATTTTAAATTAATCAAATCGTATGGAGTCGTCGAGGTTGTATCGTGGGCGTTAAGTCTGACGTTCATACAAAACAAGAGATTTATTACGACTCCGCCTTTATTATAAATTAAATTTCTACATTAAAAAATGTAGATTTCAATTAATTCTAAATTAAATTTTAACATTAATATTATTTACAACTTCATTATATAAATACACATCATTCAATCTTTACATCAAATAAGTTAATAGACAGATAAAAGTTCATCGGCCTTATAAGTGTTTCGTTTATTTTGTTAGGAACATTGCAGTTAAGTATTCAACGAGCGGTTTCTTTAGACTTTTATTGCATACCTACAAGTTACTTTATGACACTAATCCCAGCGCGGTCGTCTTTATGTGAATTAAAGTCCAGTTTAGAACCCATTTGATAAAGTCCAAATGACTTAAAATTTTATATTTTTAAATAGGAAGCAGAAAGACACATATTATTTCATTATTTTTTAAAAAGCCAATTTTTTTTAAATAATTGGCTTCCATACTTATATTTTATTATGAATCATAATGATTTTAAATTAACAGTGACATAACTTTCTTGTCCTTGCAATCGTATCAATAAACGACATATGTATATGTAAAGTATTACCAAATAATTTAAACAGCATAACAGACAAAACAAAGCGTTTCCGTGCCTATATAAGGTCAATATTAATATCGGTATAGCTTCCGTGGGAAATTCTAATAAGATACCCAATGTCAAAAACGTGGGATTTGACCTCCGAGTATCGTATAAATACAAATTGACCCGCAAAAAATCTGCACACACATCAAAATGTGGACCATAGAGGTTTATATCTACTTTCTCGTACTCTCTATGGCAGGCTCAGCCCTCGGCGAAGGTAGTAATTTGGTTGTAAAATTTATTACTTTGACTCTGATTTTTTGGACCGTACGCTTATTTGTTACCGTTAGACAAATTCGCAAAAATTATCTTTCTCCACATTGTAATAGTAAAAAATGGCCATAAATTTAACAAATTTTGCATCTATGCATTTATAAATATTTAAAATGAGATATAATAAAAGTTATAAATTAAGTATTTTATGACATTAACCTTCTTTTTTAACTAAAATGTTTATTTTCCCGGTTTACCTACAGCTAAATACTAAAAACTAGTTGCTGTATTAATTATAATTATCTTTTTTAACATATCTCTATGATTTAATTATGACGTTAATAAGCTTATTAACTGTTTCATTGATTTTATTTTTCAGAAAATACATTAATTGCCAACATAAGGGAGCCGCGGCATTCCAAAAATAAATTATGCCATAAGTATGGTATATGTGGAGGCTACGGGAATCAGGGATACAATGGATTTCAGGGATACCAAGGGGGCTATAACAACGGGGGTCACTATGGAGGATATCCAGATAATCTGCCTATAAATATTGCAATCAGTCAATCCCAATCTTCAGCGAATTTTGGCGGTGGTGGTTACGGTAGCTCATCCTACCCCAACAACTATCAATATAATGGGGGTTATAATGGGGGTTACAGTGGACCTTATAATGGGGGTTATCAAGGGGGTTATAACGGAGGTTACCATGGGGGTTATAATGGTTACCTCGGTGCTAACAGGCCAGGTTATTTCGGTAATGGCTATGGATCGTACAATAATCAGTTTAATGGAAATTATAACGGAGCACCAGGGGGTTATGGGGGTTACGGCTTCTTAAGGAACTCTGGTTTTGGTAACGATTATTCTGAAGAAGATAACGAAGAAGATTTCGGAAGATCTGCCAAGGAAAAAGAAAACTAATTAAATATATAACAAAGCTGTGATAATAAAAATTAAAAGTATATATAATTATTTAAATATAAATCATATATTTGTTTGTATTGTATAAAAACTTAAGCTTATAGAAATGTGAAATGGAGAACTGAAATTAAAGATGTTTTATCCGTCTACTTGCTGATAATATATATTTGAATTAAATCTTGTAATGAACAGAAACTATAAATAATAATGACGAGTTCGTAATTTACTGGCTTTATTTAAAAATATGATTTTGTGATACTATTAGGTTAAATACCAATAAAAGTTTTATTAAAATAAATATGGTTTTGTTTGATTATCCTAACATAAGTAATATTAATTAAAAGACGAAAACTTATATACGTTTTTAATACATATTAAACATCCTCCTCAAACAGCAAATATTCAAGATCAGAATTAGTGTATGAAAATACGATCACATAATTTTGTCACTAAGTCGTAAAATATGTTTTATGTTAGTCCCAATCAAATAACTTAACTCTGAAGATGGACAGTTTGACAGTTTGAGAGCTCCTTTTATAAGTTTATTAACCTGAACAAAAATAAAATGTACTGATAAATTATTTATTATCATAAAATTGAAATTTATAGAGCCATTAGGACGGAAGTATTAATTAGTGATATAAGGACTGACACAGAAAAAAGTGTTATATTTATTGTGTATGATAAAAGATGAGAAATTGGTTTTTTATATTTGTTTGATTCTTTATGTTCGAATTAGGTTTTAAATGATGATTTATTGACGTGTTCCATTATTGTAGAGTAAAAAATTTATCCTAAAAAGCAACATAGCTGGTGATGTTAAGATATTATGAGCTTAAATTTTTTTAACCTTGTTCGAAGGACGCTTTTATATTGGTAACTATTAAGGGTATCTGTAATATCTAAAAAAAATTATTTACGACACAACGTATACAAATATTCTGAAAAACAAATGACAGAATAAAAATAATTAAAATGTGATGCTTACTATTTTAATTGAGCTTAAACTAACAGGTAGAAACTTTATAATTAAGTGATTAATTTTTGTACAATCGGTAAAGGATGTCATTAAAAGGAAATGTGGAACATCTTATTATAGATAAAAATTTGAAAAAACGAACTGGATCTTCTACTTTATTTATCAGTAAATATTAATAAAATACCTTTACGACGCTAATTAACATATAAATTTTAAATTAGTGATGTATTTGTGAATTTTATTGTATCATAGGACCACATAGATTTACCGTATGAATTATGATAAATGTTGAGGTGTCAATGGCTTCAGGTGTAAATCTGATTCAGATAAGGAGTGGGGAGTTTCTATTTCTAAGTATAAAAGCTCGGAGAAATGATTCAGACGTATCCATAACTTTCGGCGAAAGGCGAAACCAATAGGAAGACAACGAAAATGTCGAAGCTTCTTGTAGTACTATCGGTAATATCCGTCAGCTTGGCGGCACCAATCATCTATGGTAATTATTATATTACATTAAAATTAATCCTTTAGTTGGCTTCTACTCAAATACTTATTATAAAGATAATTGTTTACATACAATCTTAGTGAATTTTTTTTTACAAGCCTGTACTGTATTTGTCATTATTTTTGCAGATGAGATAGTACCAGCCATTACATGGCGTGTGGGTCGTGCACCCAACGTGGCATTTGGGTTCGGAAGTGGTTTCAGCAGTAACATAGGTGGTATCAGCCACTCCTCAGGAATTGGTGCTTCCTACCAAAGTGGTGACGCTCAGGCTTACGGCTCTGGTGCAGGAGGTTCAGATGGCAATTTCGCCAGAGGTATTGGCTACGCTCAGGCTGCACCCCACTATGTTCAATCCCGACCATTCATCGCACCAGCACATCAACAATCCTCAGCATCAGCTTTCAATAACGGATTCGATAGGAACTATGGATCAGCTTTATCATCAGCACAAAACTTCGGCAACTTTGGATCAGCAGTGTCATCTTCTCAAAGCAGCAACGGCTTCGGATCAGCGATATCTTCGGCACAGAACAACGGTTTAGGTAACTACCAAACCGCTCAGGCATCCGCTCAAAATCAAGGCCTAAGAGGATACGAATCAGCTGTTTCCAGCGCCAGCAACCACGGTCTGGGTTACAACTCAGCACTCTCGTCCGCTAACAATGCTGGTAACTTCGGATCAGCTGTTTCTCTAGCCCAGGGTCACGGACCAAATCACATTGGCCAGGCTATTTCCGCCTCCCAGAATATCGGTGGTTTCAAATCCAGCATTGCACACAGCTTCCAACAAAACGGCGCCTCCATTCAACAGAGTGACGCTAGCAGCATTAACGCTCCAGGCATTCAGTCATCACAAGCACATGCCTTTAATAATAACTTTTATTAAATATAATAACATTGTAATTTAATAACTATTTATTATATTTATTTCAAAGATGTCAAGAAGATTGTCAAACACTTATCTTGATATCTTTATTTTTAAAACAATAAATGTATTGAATTGAAGTAATTTAATAAATTGGATGGAAGTACAACTGTTTCGTTTTAATTAATATGACCCCTAGATGTTTAAGTGCAATTTTTAAGAATAAATATGTAGTTCAGATAAAAATTGGATTTGTTCCTTTCTATTAAAAATAATAAAAACCTTATTAGTATTAAGCAATTGGATGTTTTCATAAGTGTTTTAGATTTTTTCACAAAGAAATATAAATAATTTTACATTTAAAATATATTGTATTTCGTTAAAACAAACTTTAAAGATTTTTAAAACAAGCACTTAATATTGACCTTTACTATTTAATTAACATTTGCAACTATCTCGTTTTCAGAAAAAACTACTTATAATTTTCTTAATATTTTTTGGTTGTAACATAAAAGTGAAAACATAATTATTTTTAACTTTAACACTGAATTTTCATATAACATCATATAAAATCTACTAAAACCACGATTTTAATAAACACTTATTGATAAAAGTATGAATTTATCAGGACTCGAAAGAAATTGTGATTATAACTCAACTCTGTTCTAGATTTTACAAATTTTCTGTTAACTAATTTGTTAATGTGACAATTAACGTCAACTTTTATATCAAGAAAATATGGTTTAGTTTTTGTAGCTTGTGAACGATATATATACATATATTAATAAATTTAAATACTGAGATAAACATATATATGTACTCTCTTTAACATTTATATAATATATTCAAAGCTGTTAAAATTTAAATAGAACATTTACAAGCAAAACGATGGTCAACTGACTTTTTATGAGTATAGAGAGTATCCTCCGGAAATATGTATAAAAAAATATATTATAATTTTTCATGCACATTTTTGAATACTTAATAATAATTTATGGCTTTACCGTAATATTTATCTGAAAAAATATATATTATTATATCAAATAATATATCCGAAATAAATAGTGAATACATACTCTAGTTATTGAGGTTTACTTTAATTAATTATCTACTCTTTATGCCATGTATTATATACTCGTAGCTCGTGTATGTAGTAATTAATGGCTTTTCCACTAGAATACTAAATTCTCCTGATATTTTTAACTTTTTTCACATTTAATAATCCTTTAACAGGTCTGTTCTTAAAATATATATCATTTACTTTTGATAAGGTCTAATTACGTTTTCAATGTCATCCAAAGGACAGAATCTATTCTTACTCCCTAATATTCCTGTTTATCAAACTGCTATAAATGATGTGTCATAACTTAATGTGGAACAATTTATACATATATGAAAATAATTCTTTTGATTCTTTTAAAAATTACGTCTCAGCAATTATGGACATGAACTAGTAAGTGATAATCTTTCGCTAAAAAAATATTAATAATATGAAACGTAATCTTGTTTAAGTAAACTGTAAATTCAGAGTGTATATATGTATATACTCGTATAATCTAATAAATCGTTAATGAAGTCTTGCTCTCATAGTAGTTACGCGGTCAAAGCAACCTTGACCACAAAAAAATAAGCCGCAACAAAAAACCTGATCCATTAATCGTGGTTGTTATAAAACATCAATAGCATATCTATTCCAAATAATGTCAAACCATTAAATAAGAATACTTTAATTAGGATACAAAATAATATTATGACAATCTATATTTATAATGTCAATAAAAGATCCGTTAGAGTTCAAAGATTCCTTACTGTATAAGATAATCACAGTTTTGGAGAGATGACAGTTCATCACAGAATGGTACCGATGTACTGTATTTATTGATTCCGATTGCAGACATTACAGACCATTTACATGTATCGCGATCCAAATAAGAGAAATATAATAAGTCATAAAAAATAAAACTCAGCTTACATGATGCTTTTTCGTCAGTTGGCAACACTGTGCAGACTGTAGATAAAAAAAAAATTCAAAGTTATAACGAGAGGCTTACTTATAAGTAAGCTTATAAGCTTATGTTATTATAAGCATTATAATAATTCAATGCCTACAAAACTATGAATTTTAATTGACCGATTAAAACATCACGTAATTATAATTTATGGCCATCAATTGAGTGAAGTAAAAAATGTTTTAATCTCTTTAACTTTTTATTAATTATATTTAATCTATCACAGTGTATATTTATTTTAAACTAAAGTAAATAAACAATAATTTGTTCTAGAATAAATCTTTATGTGACCTCTCCTTTATCATAATTTTGATGTAAATCAAAGTCTATGTATACCATCAAATCTGATTAAATCCCGTTAACAGATTTTGATCAAACTTGTAATTTAACCTAAGATATAAAGCAGAAAATTCTGAACGTAGTTGCATTTACAATTTTGATTCTCACCATGAACTTATTTTATTTGATATATATTTATTTATTATTAATTTGTAAGGATATTCATGCGACAGGTACAGTTTTAAGCTCGTTGTTTATGGCATATAATTTCATCTTAGGATTAAAAGATTTTTCTCATCAATTTTGAGTCTATCTATAAGTGGGAGTTCTACAATATATAATTTACTATATCAAATATTTTTTATGGTATTCACATCAATTTTAGGATAAGTAAAAATATTAAGAAAATATTTTAAATATCAAAATTACAGAATAACGTTCCGTGATTTAGAGCCTTTTCGGACTTCTCTATAATATGTATTTTCTTCATAATTAATTTCATAATTACAACAATACGAATTCAGTGCATCATATTTTTCATTTAATTTCAGATAAAATATATAAATTTGAATGCTTACGACAGTTTCTTATTGTTTTTTGTGATTAAATTGCAATCTTTTTTTTTCAGATGTGACATCGGATCGTACGTTTAAAAAGCTACAGTCAATTTCAAATAACAACAATATGATCGGTGTTGCTAGTGTCGCTGGAATAATTTCCCGGAACGATAGATATTCATCTATCGGAGGTATACAATTTATAAATCCTTTTTTGTCAAGTCAAAATAATAAAAGAAATACGAATAAAGACAACCAAGCTATTGCGTCTGGATATATTGAAATGCGTCCTGGTTCTGTAACAGCGTCTTCAAGTACAAGTATTGATAATGGTTCACATAAACAAACTCCTTGGTCAACGTTTAACCCAATGCCATGGCCTATAAACCCTTACATACATGCAAGAGACCTAGCCAGACAGCGAAATATTGAGGAATGGCTGCATAGAGATATATTTGAAAACCTGGCGCCGAATATGCAAATGAATAATGGCTGGATGTACCCGACATTCGATCCTTTTATTAACTACTGAGTTTATTTTATTTTTACAATACGTTTCTCGTGAAATCATTTAAATAAATATATATTATTCATCAGACTTTACGCTCTATTTTAGTGAGTTGAAACTATATTAAGTGTATTCTATCTTGAATAAAAAACACAATAAAGGTTTTTTTTGTACTATTTTTTTATTATTATTCACACGGCAGAAGACAGTCTCATGAATGCAATACAGATTGAGATGATGCACTGCTTAGACATTAAAAATATTCATTGAAATAATACGAAAAGTGTTTTATCGATAACCAAAAAATCAAACACTAATTTGTAAGCAATTTCTATAAGTTTTTTGAAGAATTGTAAAGTAATTGTAATTTTTTGAGAAACTGTAGTTCATATAATTATAATATAAATTTTCTACTAATACTTTAACGTCAAGTAGTTTGGCGTATAAAAGATATTTGCTTGAAAAACTGTTATGCTGATATAAAGATACGATATTGTATTACTCGTCGTATAAGTATATAATTTTGACCACATTTGCGTTAGTTATACTTTTATTTTCGTAATTTTGCATATTTAATTATTCTAGCTTCAAAGACTTTCCTATTCAAAACATGTTAGTGTTAATATTTTCATTCCAATAGTTCCATTCAACCACTATGAACAAACAATTATAGTCAATAAATAATAAAATACAAATAAACTTAGCTATAAAAAAAGTCATTTTATATAAAGGTCTATTCTCGGCACACACTCTTCTTAATATTCTCTTTTTTACAATCTTATTCTGAACTATCCTATGATCGTACTACCTACTTACGGTACAAACGACTCAGACAGTGAGCTTAATCGAAAACCTGTCTCCCAGACAATCGCAATGCCTAGAATATAGTCTAAGCATTGCACTTTAATATCCAGACACAATAGTTGTCACAGTCACGTGCTAGTCATTTAAATTAACAAACACATACGTACAATATTTACTGGTAGTTGTAAATTTTGAATTTAAAACGTATTGAAAATAATTGATTTGCAAAATTCAACACGTCGACCCACTTCAAAGGTCAACTTTGCATATTATATATTTAATCTAATACATAAATGTAAACCTAAATTTAAGAATAATTACAGTATATAAAGAATACATCATTAAATAAATATAATTGTTGAGAAAAAAAGATGTATTAATTTTATTAAGCTACCATTACATAATCAAGAACAAAACATTTAATTATACGGTTTTAAAAATGTACATTTAAATATTTTAATGCATCCTTCTATAAAATATATTTTCTTAATCGAATAAATTATACTAAAAAAAAACTAAAACTAAATATTTAAAATATTTAGATAAATAGTAAAATACTAAATGTTAAGTTTATGTTTTCTTAATTTCAAAAAAGCTCATAAACTTTGTCGTAATAATGGCGAATTTAAGATGACATGAAGGTATTTTAAGATTTAAAAGATATTATAACTGTTGGATTCATTGTCTCAAACAATACAAATTTAAATATAGTTAAAAACTTCACTGATTTTCACGATGATATTTCAAAATGACGTTAAAGTAGAACATTTATTTGTAACGGTTAGAAAGTAAAAAGGTTTATTTTATATAAAACTAATATATTTGAGTCCCAAACAGTTGAAAATAACTATATTTTTCAAAGCCGATTACTTGGTAATCGCTAATTTTAAGTTTACATTAATAAAGATATTTTTTTTCTCATGCAGACTTTGCCTAGAAGCTATCTTAGACACAAAACTGGTTCCACAACTAAGCATACAGGCGTATGTTTTGCAACTCTTTTTCTGTATAAATTAACTTATTTACATTACACAAGAAAAACGGATAGATATACAATACAATTTAAAGTTTCATATATTACAGTCCTTACAATGATTTTAAATTACACTAAATTAATAACTATATTAAACCTAGGTTAAACAAACTTTTATTTTGTCTATATAACAATAAATCGTTCCGCCTATCACTATAAACGTATTACTAATGCGCAAGCAACTTGCAACACTTCTATTAATTATGCAACTCTGCGGGCCATTCTACTTATTTACAGCGTCACTGTTCCTTTTATGGAGTTGAATAAAAACTATCTATACTATTATTAAACCCAGACGTGGCCATATAAATAGAATCTACAATTATTTTCGTCTTGTATATGAATGCATCGTCTTAGGTCTACAAATATTTAAAAGTTGTAAAGTATCTAGTTAGTAGAATTGTCCCTCGGTCCTAGTTAGTAAGACGACAGTGAGAGGTGACAGTTTCAAGCCAGCCTCCGAACAACATGCGTGTTACAATCATATTGACCCTTTGCATCGTACTTACATTGGCTGCACCTCAATCAAAACTTGAATTCGCTAATAATGGTAAGTTTTATAATATAATAAAGTAAATAATACTTATTTTCAAAGGGAAGTAACCAATCTTTTTAATAGCATATGTGACTGGGAGTTATATCTTTTGTCATTGATCTATTTCAAATATATATGTATATATGTTTAATTTGAATATAAAACGAATAATTGTAATGCTACAGCTTAACTATGTATAAGCTAAATGTGATAAAAACATTATGGCATTCAGACGGCCTTGCATAGGAACCTTAAAAACATGTATTTATAGTTTATATTATGTATTCAAATTATATTCCTTTGTGTTATGTCGATACAGGCTAAATCGTAACACATTTGAATACAATTAAAGCAAAATATCTCACATGTACACTCAGGTATAATGTGTTGTTTAGTCAAATTAGTAACAGACATTTTATAAAAATATTTATCAAGATCACTTATAACTATTATGAGATATAATCATTAAAACCTTGTGTTTGATCGTATAAAAGTTAGTTTACGGAAGTATGTCGTCATGTTTATATTGTATATTAAATGTATTTCTGCACAAGTCCCTTTAAGTATTTAATAGCAATTATATAACTCTGAATACAGCGTTAGAGGTTAAGTCGACCGAAATCCTTTAAGAGAGGATAGGTTCTATCATTCCTAACCGATTTGACTACGGAACCCCATATACTAAACCTAACCCTTCTCAAGTTATTGGCCTTTGAATTTATTTTACAAAAATTACAGATTTTTTTTGTCGATTGCCCCTTTATTTTTGTTTTGTGTCCCAATTTTGTATTATTTTTCTTATTTTTGTGTAGAAGATTAATTGCTTTATTATTTTAAGCTACAAACATATGTATTGCAGATGTGCTAAAAAATAACTACGGTTCTTTAGCTATCCAATAAGGTATTGTGGAACTCATCCTTCCACATGAGATAGCCAGATGTTAGGCAATGCTTTAACAGTTCAGCATATACAATAGTCATATTTTTATCCTTTAACTTACCTCTTACAGTCTCAATGCAGTAAAGAACAGGTAGATTAGTGAATAATGACTGTAGATCGAAACTGACCATAATGTCATTGTCTGTCAATTTTAGGTGTTTAATATCATTGACAAACTGGTAGGAATCATAACAAATGACTTTGTGTAGCCCCGGAGTGGTGATAATATCTTTGACAGGAATTTAGCCAGTTTATAAGTGGGTAAATCAATCTGGCTTACAATTGGGCGTAATGGAACATCTTGTTTATGGATTTTAGGTAACCCATACAATTTCGGTGGTTTTGCACACGATGGTACGAGTGATTTGATATCTACATTAAGTTTAGAACTGTATTTATTAATTAATAATTTTTTTCCTTTAAAATTTTACTTGTCGGGTCTATGTTAATTTTTTTATAAACAGAATTATCCGTAAGAATTTTAATCATTTTTGATTATATATGTATTTTTGATTATTGTATTAACTTTCAGATAACAACGGCAAGCAGTTTATAGAAGAAGTGGTTGTGGAGTCTGTACTTCATGTAAAGAGTCCCACTGCCTCGAGACAGGGTCGAACCAGCACCGACCTGCAGACAGGAGCTAGGGTACAACTGAAACAATGACAAACATACATACAATATAATTATGATTATATATTACAACTAGTCAGTACTACAAATAAAGAAGATATACATATGTACATAGTATTTTTATTATGTTTAAAAATGATAACTTGTTTTTGGTTCCATGTGAAAACTAAAAAAAAACTATTGAAAAAGACGAAACAAAGGTTTATACTTATAGAATTATTCTTCAATGAAAGCATTGGATTTAGTTATAGAAAACGATATTGGTTTTGTTTTAAGTATTGGAAATACTAAGTGTCCTTAACAATAAAAATTAAACAAAAAATTTGGATTAATAAGTCTTCCAGGTTCAGTCCTTCAGCATTAACTAAAACCTTATTATCCTTCTAAATAAAATCGAAGATATATTTTCATACAGTCTACATAATGATGCTCTCATTATATGTATATGTATGTACATGTGCATAGTCTACCTTTTCTAAGGTGATAAAGACAAATTTTTAATTTCAAATATTTATAAAAAGTCGGAATGTCGGTGTATGACGAATTAAAAAATGGTAAATCCAATAATTATATTCATAGAGCGGGACGCGCGTTGACGCGACAATGAGATGCGCACGCGCAGAGAATAATCTACCACGCACATTCGGATTTATACAGGCTGTTATAACATTTGCACAGGCTGATTCATTATGGATAATTCATCATCTCACCTTGGACTACACACATACAGAGCAATTGTCGCACTAAGTGTAAATAATTATATAAATTTGGCGCTTGTGAATGTAATCATCGCGATTATTTTATTAAATAAAAAATGTTTATGGTTCTAATTATACAAAATAATATAAAATGAACACGATGTACGTAAAAAAATATGATATTTGAATACAATCAGGCAGCTGAGAGGATCGCCGGCCACCGTTAGACCGTGCGCGACCCATCACCATTACTTATTTAGTGTATGCCTAGAATACGGTTACTGGCTCTTCTCGGAACTTATTACGCGATTTTCATGCGAGTGCCGTCATTGATTTGTTACCGGCTTTATAAAAGTTTCGAACATCTCATGTCATTTAACGATGTATCCCTATACGGTCACGTAACATACAGGAATACGCCGACAATGACAAGCCGACAACTAACCAAGACGGAGTTAACCAGTTAGATGCTATTAGAACTGATATACTTAAAAAACTACACTTATTAATAGTGTTTAGTATAAATTTTAATTTAGGGTTTACTCTATGACGTGTTCAATTTATGTGAAAAAGACGTTACAACTCTTATCGATTAGAAAGATCTTAACTTGTAACAAGTAACTGAATTCTAAATACATTAAAACTTTCTTTTTTTACTATTGAAATGTTTAAATTTATTTATAATTTGGATCAAGATTATCAATATTATTTTTAGAGCACAATTATAATTAATCCTAGCTTATCAATACAGACACTATATCATATCGTATTTCTCATACACAACTTTTTTCATAGCTCTGGTCCACCGGAGGAAGCTATTGACCGTTACTAAAGAACATCCATTCTTTTATTTTGCTATACTTTGATGTTAATAAGATTTAGGGTATAAAGGAAGAAAGTTCTGTTAAATTTATTTATTACACAATAAGCTTCCATGGTAACATAGGCTAGTAAAAATATTGTTTATACGATCGTAAAATATAATTACTACAATACAAGAGCAGAATTATATTATATATAAAAAAAATCGAACTTTGTTCAATTCAATACAATACACAATAATAATATACGGTCAGAGTTTGCAACAAAAAACACCAGCGTTTCCGTAAACACGCTGTCAAAGTAACTTCATGAATCAGATTGATTTATTTCACTTAACAATAATTCTAATTACTCTTAGCCAGAATATTATAATTTGTATGCTTCGGATGTTACAACGCGGCGATTTTTACGACCTTCGATAAAACTAAAACACACTATATTTTCACACGAACTTAACGAAAATAATTATAAATTATCATAAATGAATAGTGTGCTATACATAACAATCTTATTTATAAAAAATAACAAAGAGTATGTAACTATATTGTTTAAATAATAATTAATACAATTTCATACCATCACTTTGATAATCATCTATTTTGTTATAAACCTTTTGTGACAAAAATATTTATTTATCCTGCGATTTACTATCTTATTATTTGTTATTTTCATTATAAATGATTATAATCATTGTATAGAGATAATAATTATATTTTTGATATGTACTCTTTCTCATATTTTTTTACTGATAAATATACAGAGTAGAATAAGGGAAGGACAATTAATTTAACAATAATATAATATTGTACATACTAAGAAGACATTAAATAAGTTTCATTCTTTATTTTAAAAACATGAACTCAAAATTATTTATATGATTTTTCTTAATAAGTAAATCTTGTTATTTTCTGTATAGGTATACGTTGTTCAATAATTGCTTTTATGTCCAAAAGCATGTGAAATTAAAACTATTTTTATAAAACATGTCATTTAGTACATTATTTTTAAGTTCTATAAGTATTTCTTTTATTAAATTGATTCTTATATTTGTTTTCATTAGACATTATTTTTAATAACTTTTCAAGTATCAGCTGTGACCTCAAACAATAGAACAGATTTTTTGATAGCCAGATTTATTTTATTTATAAAGACAAAAAGAAAAAATGTTATAGTATTATTTAAAGTGAATATTTAAAAAAGAAGACTTATGTAATTGTTTTTTTATTTGATTATTCTGCTGTGTATTACTCACTTTATTAGTATAATAATGATTATTTTCTCCAATGTCATATATTTTTAATATAAAATTTTGGGTAGGTACAATGAAGATCAATTAGCTAATAGTAATATATGAACAAAATGTTAAATGTTAACAAAATGTCAATAAAAATAGACTGTATTTATTTATATATATATATATATATATATATATATATATATATATATATATATATATATATATGTTTAAGTTTATTTTAGATTTCGGGGTTCAAAATAATTTTTAAAGGAAAAATGAAGGACGCAACTTAAACATTGTTTTAAATCCGGCCAAACCAACCTAAACGAGAGCGATATTTCATTAATAACAGTCACGTTTCAAAAACCTTTAAAATGCTAAAAGCTTAACATAAAACTAAAAAAAACAGTTGAAAATGCATTATCAACTATAAAACTGAAGTTTTCATGTAAATTTTCATTATAATTACGATGATAGATGCAAATCTGGACACCTGACGATTTGCATGTAAAAAAATAATGAAATATTCATTACCTAATTGGCTATACCGGCTATTGTCCAAATTCAATTTATACGACAGTGTCAGAACAATCTATTTTTTCAATACGGACTTTATACGAAACCAGTGTATTTATATTCAGTAATCATTATCTGCAGCTGCTCTTAGAATTTATTGTATAACGATATAAATTCGAGCAACACTACTCGCATCTTAATGAATTCCATATAAAGGACATAAATTAAAAATTATATTTTTTTATATAAGTAAAGAGCATGGAGTTACGAACGCTAACCTTGTTCTCATTTACATCGAGTTAGTTACCACTTAATAATAAATCAAACAGATAATATGAAATGAGAATTTTCTTTGCAAATAAATGTTTTGGAGATTATAAAACAAATAAACTTAATACACTTGAATGTTTACTAAAGGTTTTAAGTCAACTCAACTTAAGATTTTAATTCTGTTATTTTTTAGTTCGTAGTTCGTAATTTAGTATCTTAAAAAATTAAAAGGATTTTAATATACATATATTCATTTAACTACAACTACCCAGAAAATATAGACGTGTAATTATATTCTTAAAAGGGGAAGGTAAAATCGCCATCTTGGTTACATTGTCAAATTAAGTGAAGCAAAATATAAATTTCAATATTTCTACCGGCATTAAGTTGGCACCAAGCTATATTTATATTCAATATTTTTTTACAGTTAATAAATTTTACACTTGAACTTACTTTACATAAAAAATCTACTCCAGTTGTTTGGGTTTAATATCATTCAACTCTTAACATAAAAGACATTAAAATCTCAAGACACGTTAACTAGTCTTCCGCCCTGGTTTTACCGATAACCAAAACCGCAACATTATATGGACGTATGACTGGCCGATGATATAATACTCGTACGTCATAACAAAACAATCGACAGTGAATTTAATAAGTTTTAATATTCATTGAAAGATACACATGAATCATTATATTTATTTCAACTGGAATTTTTTTTTTTACACTTTATTTCCTATATCATGTATATGACCAGTATTTTATATTGTGTATGAAATTTTAATGTATGAAACTGTTAGGACAATTTTTTTTCCATAGCCACGTATCAATCGCCTCATCACGACAAATGCTCCGTTCGGTAACGAGGTACTTTGTCTGCACGAGCTGCAAAAACCGACTCATTTCTAAAAAACAGTTAATACATATGTCAATTGGAGACAAGTTTTTTTTTACAAATTCAAAGAGAGTAACAATCGCCGTTCGACAGTTGTTGTTAAATAAATCTCATCACTTTAATTATTCATAAAACAAAAAACAAGAGAGACGAAATTTGTCAGCATTAAATTGATTCACCTTGCTGGTGCCAGGACTTGCGACCCAGGTGTAAGTTTATGGTGCTTTTATCTAACGAGCTTGAAACTCTCGCCTCCACCGTACAAGCTCCTATCTCTACATAACCAAATTTGAAACGAACTTACTAGGACTGCCTTCGAAGTACATTCTAACAATGAATTAATGTTAGTTTTGGACTGGCCCAAGTCTGTTGATTGGTTGTAGAGAGATTTAGCTGTTATAACTCAATTCCACTTCTACCGCGTAAAAATCTACGACAAACTATTCTTAGTGAGTTTTTTAGTGACCTCGTAATATCGATTAACTTTGGCATGGTCTTTAGGGATGTTGGTTTTTCAAGGAATTGAAAGCTTTATTAATACACAACGCGCTTTAAAATTCGCGAATACAGAAATGTATGTCTGGTCTGGACGCCGAGGTACAAAATCCTCTGGTTTTTGTATTGTTTCTCATACGTATCCATCATATAGTCCAATCCGGAGCCGCTTTAAGGATAGAGTAAGGCTTTTGATGGCGTTTGATTTCATAGTCCTAGTACCTTCTTATTTCATTTTATTAAATAAAATTATTTGTAGTCTTGTAAATGAAAAAGTCAATCGTAAATAATGAATGTAATTTTATTATTTCTAAAACAAAAATCCTTTTTTTGCTTGTTTTTGTTCTCCCTCCATTTTTTTTTCATGTTATATTAAAACTTGTGAAGGTTTCCGAGGTGCCGGAAGATTTCTGAATGAACATATTTAACAAATTACAAATTGGTTATTACATAGACTAATATGTTTAGAGACTTTAATAGAATACAAACACTTTCTGCTACTGTCCAAAGTCTAAAGAACGGAATTTAATAAAATCACGTTTTTTAATCATATGACAGAATTTTTAATTAAAATTAACTAAATTACAATAAACTTCAAAGAACTGAAATGTTTAAAATTTAAAGAATAAAATTAATTACAAAGACTTGAACTCAATAAAGTCACATAAAATATAATAAAAATTGTATTAATCACGAATACCTTTTTAAAACAAATCTTACAAGGTCGTGAAACGAAAAAATCAACAAAGTATTGTTTAAATACCCAAAACATAAAAAACAAGTCGCACGGAAATAATGCGATTTCATAAATATTAATATTATTGTTCGATGCAATTGACACAAAAAATTGATAAAAAAAAACATATTCCAGACAACAAACTGTTCTCTTATAGTAACGCGATCCACGTATTGATCTAGCAGGAGTAATATTAGCAATAATCGTGATCTTAGGCACGTATACGATGATATGCTAATGATCAGGTCAAGCTGTACGAACAGGAAAACTCGTGTTTCTTGTAAAGGAACACGTGGTTTGTAAGAAACTATTTTGACACACGAAAAGCATTTGAAATATACATCCGTATTAACATCATTGAAAACAATATGATAAATATCTGTAATCTTATAGTAATTAAAACTATGAGTGTTAAAACTTTAATATTATTATTATTCTTGAGAATTCATAATATATTTTGTATACAATCATCACAACTATAACGATTTTCGTTATGCATTTTATCAAGTTCAAAGAACAAAAGAGATGACGTCAAATTAGTCTGAATTCGAAATTGCGAATCCACGTCTATTCAAATGATTGAATTCCTTTCAATGGCACCTTCTTTTAAGGGTCAATGGATGCGCCATGTCTCAATTATGACATTCATATGTATGTTAAAATGACTCGTAACAATATAAAAAACTATATCATCGTTTAACAAAATTAATACCATATTTAAACGTAGTGACGTAATGCAAAATAAAATCTAAATAGTACAAACAATACAGAAATACTACATAGAGTATAGAAAGGTTAACGGTGCCGAGGTCTTTGCACTGCAGTTAAGTTATCAGGCCATCTTACTTTATCAGCGATCGGACAGCACCCGCGCAATCTGAATGTCTGCCGAGCTATATGCAAGTGCATTTCGAAGAATTACTGTGATTGATTAGATTTAGGTTGATAAACTGTCGATATACACAAACTGAAGAGATGTAGATCTTTATCATCAGTATACTTAATGTGAGAGGAATTAATATATTTAACTTCAAATCCAAATCCACAGTATTTGAAAAGTCAAAAATACTTTACGTAACTTTTATGTTACAGTTGTTATACCTAATCTGTATTCAAAGGTGGACTAATATAACATTATGTATATAAATTGGCACAGCTACCTCACCTTCAACAAATACAAATCATACTATTGATAATCCTTTGTTTCCTATTGTTTTATAAGGACTTTGACTTATTCTTGGAATAAACGCTATACACTTTATGTTATACGGGATCTTGCTTGAGAGGTTTCCTTAACTAGGCATTTTGCTGTTGAAATAACTAATGTATAAAAGTAATAAAGTTAATGATGTCATTTTTTCTACTGTATCGGAAATAAACATATGACAGCAATTTGAATGATAATGAGCTCAATAAAAATGGGGGCAAGGACCTTAATATCATAGAGAATTATGTTTAAGTGCATTGAGTCGCATCGCAATATGTCAGCGACCTACGTGACACAAATAAACATCTCATGATAATATCAGGTGGTCGATTCTTCAGCCACCAGGCTTCAGGGCTGACAGCAATGCTTTTTTTATAATGTTCTAATGGCTAATGATTTGTCAAAACCAAACATAAAACTGAGCTTCTGAGCATTACTCGATCTAAATTACTTCTACAACGATATTTTTTACAATTAAATGTTTTTTATTTAATATAAAAATATTTTCTATAAGTTTTAAAAAATTAAAGTATTTTTATATAACTTAAAACTACTAATGATAGCTTGAATCATTGATTAGTATTAGTTTTGTTCAAATAGTTCTTTACTTCCCTCTCGTACTTATGATAAGATTGTAAGTTGAAGTCCAAGCAACCCTACTCCATAGAACCAGATCACCATACAAAGTTTCCGGTACGTGCAAACTCGCAAATTTGACTGTTATGTCTATTAAAAGCTCTTTATGCCGTGGACTCAGATGTTATCTCTGAAAGAAAGAAACGGATTGTATCAAAGCTAGGTAGCTGTTTCGTGATTGAAATAACAATCATCATACCGTTTTAATGAGTTGTCCATCATCGTCTTTTATTCTTTGAATTTGGAGCTTGAATTATACTTCTGAATTTCAATATTGTGACTAAGTAAAGTTTTATATTAATGATATTTCATAAAACGTTTACTGGTTTCCATAAAATATGTTATTCATATTGTAGTCTTCACATGATACTTCTAAGAACATGAAGAAAGCTAGGCGCAGTGGCGCCAGCACAATAAATTCTACCACTGACAGCTGACTAGGACAGTATGGAGGGTCCCAGAATGATGCCAATCTTGATAAGAATTGATCCGATATTATTCCATACAAACTATATAACAAAATTTTAAACTACTATACTGATAGCTTATATATTTTTTCATCCACAATATCCCTTTAAATATAGTAAAAGTACAAAACGTATGTAACTTTATTTCATATTTCGGCTCATACTCGTAACAAGAAAAATAAAATAAAATTTATTGAACCGTCACTTTAGAATTTATCCATAATATTTTTTATATAATATATTCTATATCACAAAAAAATTATTATAAGCGATGCAGTGATTACCATTTACGTATAGCTAGCACAGTAAACTGCCGAATCGTGTAAAATGACGATTGTAGGATGCGCGGGCGCAAGCCGCCTGCCGTGTCCTGCATCCCAATTAGTAAAGCCAGACTGGGCTATATAACGCGATGTCTGCTCCAGACCAACCATAGTTCGAAAGCATACACAGAACAACACCCTTCAATACACAAAGGGATTCAAAGTGTTCGATAAAATGAAGATAACTTGCGCTCTAGTCCTTATCTGTGCTTTCTGGGAGGTGAAAGGATATCCCCATCCCTACTACGGAAGTAATTTTGACACAAGTGAGTTTATTGTGTTTTATAATTTTAACCGTCAATAATTCAAAAAGTATGAATTCAAAGAACTTACAAAATGTAATTTGAATATATCATGAAAAATTTAATAAGTTGATAAACTATTCGTACTATGAGGTAAGCTGTACTATTCATATTTATTACAGTTTCTTATGGCTCCGCCGACAGCAGCCGTGGTGGTATGGTGTTAAGCCGTTACTATAACCCATACTACAACAAACGCGCCGTTGGTGGTGGAATGGCAGCTTTTATGTTCAGGCCAGAAGAACAATATCAACCTCAAACCAGCCAGTATTACTTGCCTGACAGACGTCGCCAAACCCAGCCGGAATTGAACTACTCGCCTCAACAAAACGAGGTCTATTATCCTCAAGTTCCCGATCAAGCCGAGCAAATTCCAGAGCAACCGGTAGCAATCCCCGAACAAGCGGTACCCCAACCAGAGGTTCCAGTAGTAACAGAAGCCGTTATCGCGGAACCAACAGAGAAATCCGAAGTTTTAACAACCACATTAAAAGCGGTTGTTGAACCAGAATTAGCAGAACCCGAGTCAGAAGAAGTTCCCAAACCAGTATCCACACCAAGAAAACGTGTCACAAAGAAGAAACAAGTAAAACGGCCAGTAGATGATGATGAAGAAGAAAGCGTTGACGATTACCCCAGAATGCCGTCCGGAGCTTACTTCCCAATGTTCTTCGGTTGGGGTGGAAGGTCAGCTGGCGCTCCAAGTGGTGCCACCGCAATAGCCAATGCCTTCAGTACTGGAAGAGGTGGTGTAGCTACCAGCCACGCCACAGCGTACGGACCCCCGAAACCAGACAGTAAATTGTAAAATTCGTTAAAAAATTATATATCGTTGATTTAAGTTTAACGCCATCTAGCACATTAAATCAAAAGTGAGCAGGTTGAATAGTATAGGTCTGCTCGCACAAGTTGCCGTTAAGTTAATTCACTTTGTAGTCACAGGTGGCATATATTTTAAAAGGAGTAAAACGTATAGAGTTTTATTAAAGATTTTATTATTGTTAAAATAATAATAAAAACGTTTGTAAACTGAATCTTCAATACTTGTTGTACACAATAAATCGATTTTTATAATATTTACTTCATTTACATACTTCATTACTTTTTTGTATGACATAAAGACATTAAAATGATCATTATGTTCCCACATCTTAACTGATTGAATCATAATATTTATAAAGGTTTTTAAAGACGTTTTTATAATGACATTAAAAAAATATATCAAAATAATCTCTATTAAAGGGTACTGACTCATAATTTATAGATTTTTTACAGCTTTATCGTGCTTACAGGAAATATAAAAATAAAAAACTGTACGTACATATGTATAAACAAGACCATTACTTTAGAACTTTGCTGAATTTTTCGATAAAGTAGCTGATACATGAAAGGTATGAATAATGAAATATACTTAAAAAGTATTAGCAGTGTAAAACATCAAATTATGAGACTACAAATGGTGTTGTCACTTTTTTATACAACTGCAATAAACTTTCGTATGCATTGAAGATATGGAACAAAAATTTTTCAGTTTAGTATTTTAAAATCTCAACTTAGTATTTTGAAAATAAGAATATTAGTAGAAAATCAATGACAACACAACTATAAATTTTAATTTCATTCTATGTATTATAATGAATGGATGGAATTAATAAATATTTATTCAATCACTCATATGGAGTCATATTAAAAAAGGAGCATAATTTTTATTAAAATAACTGATCAAGTATTTAAATATAACGGAATTCTTGCTCAAATTAGTGACCATTTAGATGCTATAAGGTTTTTTTTTTAATCTAAATATATTGCTTAAGGGTAATAAAAAGTAGACAAAAGTGATATAAAAAGTAGACACGTTAACAAATGTTTGTAGTGGTAATAGATGTTTAAACTTAAAACTATGTGATGAAGCGATGAAGAGCCCGAGGGGCTGGAGGGCTTTTGCGATTTGATACAGCGGTCCTCCAGCTCCCAAGTGCAAAGGGTGATAATGAGGATGATGCTATAAGGTAGCTTCTGTAAGCCATCATCGCCGCCATATTTGCTTTTTACTCCTATTATATAAGGATGTAATGTGACATACAATAGATGGGGATTAAATAAAAAATGTCATAGAATTTGTCCTACTGAAAGATAAATAATATAACGACAATATGGTACAGAATAATTAAATAGACTTACTCAGGAATGCTCAAAAATATATCGAATCATATTAACAAAAAATGACATTCGATAATATAATATTTCATTCTAAATCTATACTCTTTATTCTTCTTATTAGTGATTCCATCAAATGAAACTTAAATATTAGCATAGAATTTATATTGAACTTTGATATTCATATAATGTAGGGACAGACTTGAAATATAAATCAAAGTATTAAGGAATAAAAAATACGCTTAAAACTACTCCGACTTTTAAAGATATACCTACATCTATATATATAAAAGAAAGTCGTGTTAGTGACTCCACTTATAACTCAAGAACGGCTGAACCGATTTAGCTGAAAATTGGCAGGGAGGTAGTTTAGAGCCAGGAAATTGCAACTTTTTATCCGTTCGACAGCATTCCCGTGGGACTTGACATGAAACGTCAGTCACTATAAAACCTGGAATAACGAAACAAAATTGACAGCTATGCAATTGACGTATAACGACAGATATGTAATAACGTAATGATGACAATTAGATATTTGTTAGAGATCTAATATATAAAAATAAGTCCGGTTTTTTATTCTGACGCTATAACTTCAGAACTAACTAATTTCCACGGTTTTGCATTCGTTGGAAAGGTCTCGGGCTCCGTGAGGTTTATAACAAAAAAATTCAACAGAAAAGCGGGAAAATCTTTTTTCGCATACAGCGCCATCATACATTACATGTACTTCAAATAAATATTTTAAGTAAATGGTGCGGTGCATGATACAATGGTTGACAGCTACTCATTGTTCTTTGTTCAGTTAATTTCATGTGACAAACCGGTACTGTGTTTGTATGTAGTTTGAACTCTTAAAACCATTTAGTATTTGCGGGATAAATTTAGAAAACATTGTTTTTTACATGGGCGTTATATTTTGCGTGTTCACGAATTTGGAAACCATTCGCCTTATTTGTGTTAAAGTTAGACCAAAAAACAAAAAATGTGGTTTACAAAGGACCACTTCAATGAAACGGATAATTTGCGGACACGTGTATCGCTTCGATTCGATATCTACTTTGGATTCACTTTCATTTGCTTAGAGAAGTTCAACTAAATAACACTTCATTTTTGTAATCGAAATGAATTCATTACTGTTGTGAAATGAAATAAAATTTTTCCTTTTCAAATATAAAACAAAATTCTTCATCTTTTAATCACCAAACGAAATGTTATATAAAAGCCTTCTGGTGGCGAAACGGAGTTCGCCGGGTTAACTAGTATATTTATATATAAGATCTTCTAAAAGTAAATAAGCTGGAACATAGTGAAATAAATAGTTAAAATTATCTATTTTCATATCTCTCCTAACTACATATAATGTATTGTTTGGGATTTAGTTTTTCCAAAATAATCACTCGCAAAGAATGTGGTAGTAAAAAATTATAATTATATTTTGTAAGAGCTTATCTACCTACTTGGATTTAATGATATAAACAAAGTAATAAACTGACCCTTTAGAATTCGACGAAACAAGCCTTTAGTGTACTACAAACATAATGTAAATAAACAACTTGTTGTTTCTATGATTTTGATAACATTTATAGTGAAAATATTAAAGAGAATTCAGAGGGAAATCGATAATAAATACTGCAGGAAACTATAAATATATATAAAAATAAAATGACATCAATTACGTTTAACATACCCGGATGCGGTTTTTACAAACAAGATGCATTCACAAAGCGTCGTGACCTGGACAAAAGAACTGATAGGCTTAATGCAGTTGCATATCCAGAAATTCTGAACATACTCTTGATTACAATATTTTCTATAATTATATTCCTCTGCACTGTGATTGATGTAATTGTTTTTATTTCATAAGATTTACATTACAATGATTATCTCAGCACGTTGTAATTATCATTATTTTATGTTAATAATAAATATGTAATAATTAATTGATACAGCTGTTGTTGTACATTGTATATTTAAAAAAAACGGTCACGATTTTTTTTTAAATAAACTCAAAAAAACTGAAAATGCTTAAAAATACGGTTCATAAATAGAAATTAAATTTACTCAATTGTGTTTATAACATGATAAGGATATTGACAAAAAACTATTAGATTTAAAATGTACTGTTAAAATATCAAAAATGAATCATCGAATAAATTACAGCACCTTTAACATATTGAGTGTATTAAAATCGTGACACAATGATGTGTTGTGACCTCAGATATGATTTACTAAATGCCATCGTATCCTTAGATTACAGACACAAGATAAAATAAGTCTCAACAGAGAAATCTAATACTTGAATATTGTTAAGATAAAATTTGGTTTTATGACTGTCGATATATAATCATTAAACAATTGCTAAATCAATGACTAGTACTGGCAGCATCACATTTTATTAAGAAATTAATATCCACTGTAGAATTTATCACAGACATCTTAAATCATGATTTTTAACATCTTCACCCTAATTTAAAAAGTGGTCAGTTATTATAACTTGTTTGTATTTGCATCTTTTATCCGTTAATCTTTTTAATTATATGTCTTCTGCTTCCGTTAACAACCCTTTATGTGTATGGTAAAGTGAAGAACTACCTTTACCTTGCCAGGCTTACATAAGTCATTGTATATCGAGTAGGTTGAAGCTCAACCTTGGAAATACCTTACATGATGTTATCATCTAACGCGTCGCAAAAAACATGGACGCAGCCGACACAACTTGCTTGGGAAATTATATATTAAATTAATAAACGGGTCATGTCCGGGTTATGGCTCGAGAACCGACGGTTTATTTTAATGAAGATTTCTTTTTGGTTTAAACGCTTTCATTTCTACCTTACGTAGTATATTCGTATACTTGAAATATATACATAGTTTAATTACACATAATTTTTTTATCGCCTTCAGTTTCCACACTCATTAAAATAATTCTTGGTCAACACTTGCTCTAATTACCGTTACAAAGCTCGTAACATCAATTTCAATTATTGTAAATCGACGTAAATATCGTAACTATTCAATTAAATTCTTTAGTTTTTTAAATAAAACTAATAATTAATATTGTGACATATTTTTTTTTTACGTAAAAATATTACCAAAACACAAAACTAAAAAAATAATTTTAAACACCCATGTAGAGTTTAATGCATTTTTCTAATTATTACCCTACTATTTATTTAATATTTCAATATTGCATTACTAGTATATAATATAGATTAGATTTATATGAACAATACTAACTATCTAACTAATCATTACATGTTAATGTTCCGTATTTCCTAGAAATGTTTTTAATTGAAATGATGTTATTTAAGATTTATAAATGTATACTCTTTACAGTTCTGCTAATCGTACAGTGAATTTTAAAATGGTGCATTTTCCCCGTCCGCAGAATTCTCATGAACTCAGATCGCGTAGATTATAATAAGTAAAGATGTATAAAAGGAAGATTATCCGAGAGTTAGTTAGTGAGTGAACACGTAGCCATGAGATCGGTCTGCTTAGCCTTTGGGATTTTATTGGCATTTACCAATGCTTCTGGTACGTAAACAAATAAACTAAACATTGTTTTATACTATTAGTCATACATGTGCCTCTTCAGAGTCCTGAAACTAAAAGTAATTTAAACACAACCTTTTCTTTTATTTTTAAACTTAAAAGGCAATTAATAATAGAGTCATATTAAATATTATAAACAATAATTAATTTCTTAAAGGGTCAAAAAGGTGGAATTATTAGTCTATAAAAAGGAAATAGTATTTTTTACAGATATAAATAAAAATAAAAACTGAAATAGATAAACTTTGATAAAGTTTCAAACACTAATATTCGTCTTAATCGTACTTTACACAAAAAACTGTATTGGTGAAAATTTCAAATATATATTTTTATTAAAAATTAAAAAAATAATTACAGAGAGAGTTCAAAGAAGCTACGGAGGAGGTGGTGGCGGAGGTGGCGGCGGATTCGGCTTCGGTGGCGGAAGTGGATTTGGATATGGGGGTGGAGGTGGCGGCGGAGGTGGATTTGGAGGAGGACTTGGGGGAGGCCTTGGGGGGGGTGCTGGACTAGGAGGAGGATTAGGAGCCGGATTAGATGTTATTCGAAGTGGCGTTCATGGTATCCTCGATAAAGTCCACGAAGGCCTCGGCAGTATCGGCGCTGGTGCAGGCGGGGCCGGCGGTTTTGGTGCTAGTTTTGGAGCTGGTTTAGGAGGAGGTGCTGGAGGTGGCAGTGGGTTAGGAGGAGGGGCCGGCGGTGGCCTCGGAGGTGGAAACGACAAAGTTATTTACACCAAGTCTGACGATGGTAAATCCGGTGGATTTGCATTCACTGGAACCACTGGGAACGGTGGATATGGCGGGGGCGGTGGATACAGCAGCGGCGGTGGCGGCAGTGGCTATGGTGGAGGAGCTGGAGGAGGACTTGGCGGTGGACTAGCTGCTGGTGTTGGCGGAAGTTCTGGAGGAAACGGTGGTGGAAAAGGTGCTTTTGGCGCCAATGGCCAAGGAGGAATAAATGGTGGAAGTGGTATCGGCGGTGGACTTGGAGGTAGTACTGGAGGATCCGGAAATATTGGAGTTTCGGGTAGCGGAGGACTAGGTGCTGGACTAGGAGGTGGACTTGGAGGAGGTGCTGGATTTGGTGGCGGACATGGAGGTAGCGCTGGAGGTTCCGGTGGTTATGGTGGTTCTGGTAGCGGAGGACTTGGAGGTGGAATAGGAGGTGGCGCTGGACTAGGTGGTGGGGCTGGAGGTGGACATGGAGGCAGCGCAGGAGGTTCTGGAGGTTATGGAGGTTCTAGTAGCGGAGGACTTGGAGGTAGTGCTGGGGGTGCAATTGGAGGAGGTGCTGGATTTAGCGGCGGACATGGAGGCAGCGCTGGAGGTTCCGGAGGTCATGGTGGTTCTGGTAGTGGAGGACTTGGAGGTGGAATAGGAGGTGGCGCTGGACTAGGAGGTGGTGCTGGAATAGGAGGTGGGGCTGGAGGTGGACATGGAAGCAACGCTGGAGGTTCCGGCGGTTATGGAGGTTCTGGTAGTGGAGGACTTGGAGGTGGAATAGGAGGTGGCGCTGGACTAGGAGGTGGTGCTGGGATAGGAGGTGGGGCTGGAGGTGGACATGGAAGCAACGCTGGAGGTTCCGGTGGTTATGGAGGTTCTGGTAGTGGAGGACTTGGAGGTGGAATAGGAGGTGGCGCTGGACTAGGAGGTGGTGCTGGAATAGGAGGTGGGGCTGGAGGTGGACATGGAAGCAGCGCTGGAGGTTCCGGTGGATATGGAGGTTCTGGTAGTGGAGGACTAGGAGGTGGTGCTGGACTTGGAGGCGGTGCTGGAGTTGGCAGTGGACTTGGAGGAAGTAGTGGAGGTTCTGGAGGTTTCGGAGGTTCCGGTAGTGCAGGACTTGGCGCTGGACTAGGAGGTGGCGCTGGAGGTGGCCTTGGTGGTGGACTTAAAGGTGGTGCTGGAATTGGAGGAGGACTTGGAGGTTATGCTGGAGGTTCCGGGAGTGGAGGACACGGTGCTGGCTTAGGAGGTGGACTTGGAGGTGGTGCTGGACTAGGAGGTGGCGCTGGAATAGGAGGTGGAGCTGGAGGTGGACATGGAGGCAGCGCTGGAGGTTCCGGAGGTTATGGAGGCTCAAGTAGCGGAGGACTAGGAGGTGGAATAGGAGGTGGCGCTGGAGGTGGTCTCGGTGGTAGCGGAGGAGTTGGAGGAGGACACGGATTCAGTGTCGGAGGTTCTAGTAGTGGTGGTCTCGGTGCTGGATTAGGTGGTGGACTTAGCGCTGGATTAGGAGGAGGACTCGGAGGTGGTGCTGGAGCTGGTAGTGGACATGGAGGTTTCGGAGGTTTCGGAGGTTCCAGTAGTGCTGGCCTCGGTGCTGGATTAGGTAGCGGACTAGGCGCTGGTATCAGTGGCCTAGGAGGATTCGGTGGTTTCGGTGGAAGCCATGGCGGTTACGGAGCGTCAGGAGGGTCCCATGGTGGTTCAAGTGGATGTGGTTCAGGTTCCTGCGGGGGCTGCGGTACAGGTTCTTGTGGTGGCCACGGTGGGGCATTTGCGAAAGCGAGCGCCTCTGCCTCTGCCTCAGCAAGCAGTTATGGAAAATAGCTCTCGCCAAGACCAATAATAAAAACCTGTCATGAATAACTTATAAGTATCTACTCTTAGTACTTAGAACTAACTACAATATTAATTTTATTGTAACAAAAACTTTTATTAATATATTTTTTATACAAAATATTAATCAACTTGACATTAACTGAGCCAAGCTAATACTGTGATTGTAATAATTATGATATTATTATCTTTGTATAGTGATAAATAAATAAGTTTTTAAATTAATATAAATTTACCTGCAAACGTTATCGTTTTTTTTTATCCTACACCTAAACAATACAAGTTTTTAACTACTTCATAAATATGATGCAATTACGACTAAAATGAATCATAGTTAAAATTTTGCTTTTTTTTACAGACTACTTTAATCAATTTATATATGTATGTATAAATTACTAGAAACAATTTAATTTCATTAATGACTAAAAAACAACAACTGATAATTTCTTAAATCCAGTCTCAAACAAACAAAATAAGAGGAAAACATAGATTTTTTTTTTAAATAAATTTTAATCATTTTTTATTAAACCCTATCAAGTTAACAATGTCACACAAAAATTGAATAAAACACTTAAGATAAATCTCTTTGAACAAACAAATTGTTGTTTACATTATGTCTATTGCTCAAAGATTAGTGTCGATAATTTTTGAAATAAAATAAAAAGTAGAATGAAAGGCATTACAAAAGAAGAGGAATATTATAAAAATAAAAGGAAAAATAATTTATAGGTGATCTAAGGTCGGGAAGGGGTGGGTATTTAAGGGTATGAAACGTTCTTTCTCGATTTCCGGCAAAACTAAAAGTCCTACGGAAAAAATAGCAAAGTTGTAGATTATAAAAAGATCTAAAACTTTCGTATTTATACTTTTTCACATAACATCAAATTTTATATGAAAAATTCAAAAAACCAAGTTTTTAGTTTTTTATTTTTATCATTTACAAAAAATTTTTTTACTCCACGAAATTTTGTGAAACGTACTTTTTTATGTTCGAAACACACTGTAATTTATTTGATTCGAAATATTAATTTTTTTCAGCTTATTTTGAATTGCATAATATCGAAAAAACCATCCTACTTTTCAATTAAATATCACCGATCCAAATATCAGGTTTTTAAAAATAATGCTTATTTTTCTATTCATTAAAGTCTGTATTTAGTGATGGTGAAAAAAAAAGTTTCTTACTCTCAATACATTTTTGGATAAAACAATCATGTCCCTTTTAATGAGATGACACTCGATATCGTTTTGAAAATGCTCTTTCAAATTGTTTTTATTAGCTTAATGTAAATTTTCTGTAAATAAAACAAAAGAAGGATTTTCAGGAGGTATTCCAGACTACACAACTATTCTACACAACTATACTATATAACAAATTCTACTGGTAGATTATGTCTTTAAAAGGGAACTGTTTTCGATTTTCGATATAAAACTATATAAAAACGCAATTTTAATACTATTTTCCTAAATCTGTTTTTTAAAGTCCGTGATGGCCTTGTGGTTAAAGAGCTCGCCTCTCGTGCACGGCGGCGCGGGTTCGATCCTGGCCAGTACCAAGGTGATTTTTCCGAGTCATATATACTTTCTAGAAGTATTTAGACACCACTGATAGGCGGTGAAGGGAAACATCGTGAGGAAACCTGGACTTATAATATCACAATTATAAGTTTGAAATCACCAACCCATCTTGAGCAAGCGTGGTGATTAATGCTCAAACCTTCTCCATGTGAGAAAGAGGCCTTTGCTCAGCAGTTGGGTCTGATAGGCTGATGACGATGACGACGAAATATGTTTTTATTTGCATTCTAATTTTAATCAAAAAGTTTTTATAGGGAAATGTACCGTCGACATGTTATTAAATTTGTTTTTTATCATAAGGTATTGCAACTTTTGTAAAAATTCCCGTTTCCAAGTGTATTTTACGTCTTATTAAGAATTACAAATAATTGATGTGCATGTACATAAAAAATGGGTTTTATAATTTTATTAATGTTGTACGTAATTGTTGGAATTATTTCCTTTGTTTATAAATTAGTCATTCTTTAAATCGTGACTTATTTTAATACGAAATTTTAACTTAAAAATAAAGGATATTTTCAACGAAATGTCAAAAGTAGTAACTTCATTACACTATCTTAAATTGTTATGTCATAAATTAAACTTTAAATTCAATCGAGTATCAATAAAACTTGCATCTAAGTATATACATAGTTGAACTACGATAACCTCTTAGTTATCAATAATTAAAATATAATATTAGCAACAACAGAACATAATTCATTATGCAATGAACACCTAATAACCCTTCACGTAAAGATAAGTTTATGTATTGAATGGTAATTGATACACGTCATGCAATTACAAAAGTCTGTTTCTTTGCTTATAGAATATAAGCAGTAAAAAAACTTACTAAGATATCGTCTACGTATATTTGTAATTAGGTTTAAAAGAAATACCTTTGATTAAAATTAACTGCGTTTTCTTAAAATAAATAAATATACGTATTACCAAACGAGGGTTTTTGTGATGGACAGACCTAGTTGCGCACTACAAACCTTAATATTGTAACTATAACTCCTAGTAATTAACCTTATAATATCTCGTTTCCGTATGTATACGTATGAATAATAAACTGTTACGGAACGCTGACTGTGTGTGGAAGATATAATAAAAATAATACTATTGGGACTTTTATCAGAGCAAATAGGTTCCAAAACATGAGTTGTTACAATTTTTGTCTGCTTGTCTGTCTTTGTGCACTTTGGGAGAAGGCGAGCCCGCAGTCCATACATACATATGTCTTATATTGTGTATAAAAGCGTCATGGCAACGTATTTTTTAAATACCAATGTGATGATGCTGATGTGGACAAAGTCGAGGTTAAAGCTTGTTGAAATATGTAATTTTTTATTAATTTTAAGTCTTCACATTATTTTATATCAATTTTATGCTCGACTCTCAAGGTTTTAGGTAAAAAATGGGTTTTCTTTGAGTACATTATTTTACTATAAAGTATAAAAGTTGCAATATATCCATGAATAAATTGCGATTATTTTACTCGTCTTATATTATCGTGATACAAGTTAGTGTTATAATTCATAACAATGCTGTGAATTGTTAAGGAAATCGACGAAAACAAACGAGCAAGTTGTATGTGGTTGAAGACTTGGCGAATAAAAAATACAGTTGTTTTTGTTGAAATTATAATTCAGAATACATGTTCTTGTACATTTAGTGATCACCCATTTGGTTTAGAGTTTCCTCCAAACAAAAGGCGATATATATGAATACCACGAATTTGTTTTGTTTTTATTTTTTGCTAACAAAAAGCGCCACAAACTCTTGTTGGGTGTGCCCGAATATCTTATTACGTAATTCATGATCAAGCACATTTTATTTGATACAACAACTGGAGGCCCAATGAAGGTAAAACATGTTCAAGAAAAAAAGAATTGATTCCCTGTAACTTTTTCGTTTCATTTCATTGGGTATTCCAAGGGTGATACAGTCTTACCAATTTTGACAATATCAAAAGTATCCCAAATTAATGAGGGACAGATATTTTTACTTAACGATGAGACCGTTACAGTTTTTAAGAAGCACAAGTCACAGAAGATATTTTCCACTGACGTAACAAATTAATTCTGCATTAAACCTATATGTATTATAAGTTATTCCAAAAAATATAAACATTTTCCGACAATACAAAATATATTTAAAAAAAATCTTATTAAGCGTCCTTGTTATCAAATTCCATTATCTAATAATATCTGAAGCGGTGATCCAACAATCTGTTGTATAAAATTAAGTGGTGCTTAAACATCGTCGGAAATCGTTTAAAATTAAATCGTGCAACCGTCAGTTTGCTTGCTGACATGGCAACAAAAAAAAGTTAGCACTCAAATATCTGCGTCATAGTACATGTTTAAATCACTGCCAGGGATTTCTATGATATACTTAGATATTATTATACTATGAAAAACTTTGTTGGTCTAAAGCGAAACATAAATATAGTGAAAAAAATAAGTATATGCTTATATTTCCATTTAACTGACAAATGTAAATTAACTTATGTCATACTGAAAGGTTTATAAATATGTTCCCAAATATATTTTCTGTTTATGATAACAGTCACAGGAAAATGTTTTGTATAAATAAATAAGTATTTCTTATTTTTTAAAAGAAATTAAAGGATAATTTCTCAAACAATTTAAATCGAATAGATTATATATTAGTGTAATTTTGTTGGTGTTCTTAAAGGTCGATCTTCCTCACCACCTATTTTTTACTTATATGTATATTCAGAGATCTGGTTACCAAAAATATAAGTGATTGATATTATGTCCAATTGTGGTTATTTCAGTGTCAAAAGAATTAGAAGGTACTATTAAATAAGCTATAATTGATGCGGTAGATTCCTCAATCTTTGCACAGACTTTAAATGCTCCCAGAATATTCTACAATGCTAAACAATATTTTTTATCTATGTGCCCACAAAAAATGTTTTGAGCTAATACAAAATTAAAAACTTAAAATCCAAGACTTTATTAGTGATCGATAAAGACATGGTTACAAATTTAGGATTAGACAAAAATATAATTTATTTCCTACTGCAAAAAGGAAACTTAAAATAATTGTTAACGTTTTCTCAAGTGATTAAGAGTCCCTCTAATAAACTATACGTGAAAAAAATTGTGGTCTCTAAAATTACACTTCCAACAAACCTAAATTCATATTTTATCTAACTTAAATGCAATTGTATGTTTTAAATGGTCAACAAGTTTACATATTTTATATATTTATGTAAAGCTCTGTTTTTCAACAAATATTAATGTCAACTATAAATTCTCCAGTTTGACTTAAAATTGAAGTTTTAAGAAATAACCCTACATAATTCAAACATCACCACATGTCACTGAGATCTTAAGCATTCTTCTTGGGACATAAAACGGGAACGATCTGTTGTTTTGAATCAATAAAACCGCCAGTTCTACAAAATTTAAATAGGGAAATAATAATTTTATGGTCCTATAAGAATAGGAACGAACTGTTGTACATATTTTACTAACAAAGAAAGTTAATTAAGGAATTTGTATACAAAATAATCCCTATATACAAAACACTAGATTTACTTTTAACTATATAACACTCTATCATAATAGGAAGTCTTATATTCTAGTTATCAATTTAAAAATCATCTAAAGTCCATTTGCGAGATGCAATTCGCAATAACCGATACAAAACAAATTAACACCTAACTACACAAAAAAACACCTAAAAAAGTGAAGAGCATTGTAAACATTTGCTCGGTAACAAGACAGACGGGTTCATATAAATACAAGTAGAAGAGCCCGTAGAGTACAATTCACAAGATGGTTCGACTGACGATAGCTTGTGTTGCCTTCGGGGTTATAGCTTGTGTTAGTGCTGCACCAGGTACAGTGTAGTTATCATGTTTTACAAACTCAACTGTTTAGTGTGTCTAAGTGTTTGTTCTGAAAAAATACTTGGAACTATGTTGATCTATCATAATTCAAGTAATTGTGATCATTTTTGAACAGGATATGGGGGTAGCAAAGGATTTGGTGGCGGCGGTGGAGGCGGCGGCGGTGGTGGTGGAGGTGGCGGCTTCGGAGGAGGCGGTGGCATTGGAGGTGGTCACGGCGGCGGCTTCGGAGGCGGCGGTGGCATAGGAGGAGGCCGAGGTGGCGGCTTCGGAGGCGGCGGTGGCATTGGAGGCGGCCATGGAGGTGGCTTCGGAGGCGGCGGTGGTGGCGGTGGAGGCCACGGTGGTGGCTTCGGCGGCGGCGGTGGTGGCGGATTAGGACGTGGATTAGGTTCCAGCCTTGGAGGCGGGCATGGAGGCCATGGAGGAGGAGGTCACAGCGGCGGAGGTTACGGTGGTTCAGGGGCGAGTGCCAGTGCTAGTGCCAGTGCCGGTGCCGGAGGCTATGGACACAAGGGATACGGGTGAGTGTCATTCAATAAAATTTAAGAATCGAGGGTTTTATTCATTTAAATGAAATTAATATATTTCGGATATACTAGGCGTGACTTATTTTTGAGAAACGTTGGGAGGATGGAATTATTATATTATACAAAAATAAAGCACGCGTTGTATATCCGAAAAATAATAGTTTCATTTTAATGAGTTCCATTCGATTAACAGTAATATAAGAAATATGTACATAGCTTTGGCACTTTTCACCTAAATTATATGAGAATTTCAAAATTTTAACCGAAACCAGACAACAATTAACCATCTATTTCTTTACTTTTCAGACGTTAAGGACGCCCTCTCAGCAACAAGCAGTTTTCTAGAAATTTTTTCCGATATTTGTAATTATGTGATATAAATTAAAGATGTTTCAATTTATGGAAAATTGTTGTAAATCATCCTTACACCCATATACTCGTACAAAAACACAATTAATTGACAGGCTTAAAACTCTGTTATCAAATACTGACATAATTCAGATTATTTCAAGGTTAAAAAAAGGGAACTTAAATTATAGATCCTTTTTCTTACTCGTCGGTAGAAGTTCTTCTGTTAATTAGGATAATTTTCAATAATTTAAGATTTGATGATAAAATAACATCCTAAATAATCTTGCAGGCGGTTATTATTTCGCTATAAAAATTAGATACTGTTTTTTTACATATTCTAAGAATAATAAAGCAATGATCTGTTGGTAGTCCAATATGAGCCGGGATATCTGGTAGGCATATGATCCATAAGTATCTCAAAGTGTAAAATTGTTTCGATTGAAAAATGGCTATAAAATTTTGCCAGGAGAATTTTGTAACATAGTAAATAATTAATTACATATCCATTGTTGGATTTATTTAGTTTTTTTTTTTTTGTTTATTAATAAAATATACTGTGCATTTTATTAATTCTGAAAGCAAATACTGCTTCGTACAACAATTATTGTTTGTACCATTCTTTGAACAACTGTAAAAGTGATCCTGCGCTAATTGACACAATGGTACATAGCATTTGTCTTAAAATGTCTTAGCCACGTTACTGTACAGTTTCATCAAAATCCGTAAAGTAATTTTATGTTGTTAATTTATGAGAAACTTCAAAAATCTATACAGGGTGACTGGTGAATTACTATCAATATTTAAGGAGCATACTCGGTACATGATTCTCATTCGAATTATGTAAAAAAAATAGGTACTTAATTTTTGACAAAATTTCCGTATAAATAAATAAAGTGTTGACACGTTCCAAGTGTTGCAAGTGTGGACGCGTGCGGCGGCGTGCTGATACAACACTACGCCGCCGCCGCGTCTGTGTGAGTGTGTGTGTATACCTAATCTGTAGGGTGTTCATACGATGCGTAATTAATTACATAACTTTTGGTTAACTTTACTTAGAAGTTTATTAATATTTATGTTACATTAATTTTTATTTTGTCATATATGATCGTCAAATATCACGTCCTCAAATATTGATAGTAATTCACCAGTCACCCTGTATAAGCCTATCGATTATTATCCATCCTTGATAGAGTCTCTACATATGTACTCCCATAAAGACATACATCTGTACAACCTCACAACTTTTTGAATTTATTAGTATAATAGAAACTCAATTTTTACAAATGATTAATTTTTTATAGAATGATGTAAGTATATGCAAATTTGAATATATTTTTTCCTAAATACATATTATATACATATAAAATACATTAAAACGAAACAGTATTGTTCGCTTTGCACCATACTAATTTCATTTAACAAATATCTTTGGTCTAAATTCTCTAATCTGCAACGGTAGCTAAAAGTTTTTAAGGACATATCGACTTCTATAAACATTGGTTATGACATAATTTTATGTGTAACACGTTATTTATATATCATAAAGATATAATCAAGATCGTGCTGGGATTACTACTGGGATTTCCATGTTTCCTATTGTCTTGGACATGCAATTTTATTTAATACATCTGGTAAAGCCAATTATTTAGTATTCGTTATTAATTTGTATCCAACATTAACTCAGTTCATTTAATAGTTCTATCAAAGTCATAATTTATAAATAGAAGCTAGGAACCTTATAATTTATAGAGACTGTTATAATGGAATAATAATATCACGAAGCAATTAAATGTGTTTAGAATTCATTTGTGTATAAGAAGTTAATCTAAATAAAATATATTATGTCGTATTAGTATATAAGATTAATTCTTATCTCTTAATATTTTAAATAAAAACTCTGCAAAGCCCTTATTTTTTACATATATATTTTGTGTATGTTATGTTAATAATAGGTACTGTCTTTATAAAAAAAAAGTTATTCATCAATAATTTACATTTTTATCTTAAATTTTCTGAACTAAATTATATAAATCATCGTTAAAATAGAAGACAATAAGTAAACAAAAACACGTACAATCATCAAACTTAAATTCTAAATATGATGCACATTAGTGTTTGTCTGAAGACCACAAAAAATGAACAAGAAAAAATATATTGAGATATACAGATGTTATTAATTTTAATATTATTTTTGACCGTCATGGACGTTGATCACGTTTGGATGTAGCTTGAAGACGGTTCCTCACAGACTAGTTGACTGAAGACTTGTACACACTAGTAGTTTGATTTCAAACAATATTCATTTGATCGACCTTGACTTACAAGTAAGTGCTTAACGTCGTTTTATCATACACGCGATAAATAAAGCGAAATGTTTAAGGAAAATAATCGTTCGAGGAAATGTTGTTTATAATTTAGTTTCAATCATATTCGTAGAATAACAATATCTGTTTTTGAGAAGGAAAAAATAAGATCTAGGTGTCTTTAAGAAGCTGTACGCAATTTTGGTGCATAGCCTTTGTTTGTTTATTTGTATTGTATTGTACTGTATTAGAAATACACTTCTTGTATAGATTCTACGGACTCTAATATTCGTATATTTCTTTTAAACACTTCACATATACATATAAACTTTATTGTTATTTAAAAGACGGGACAATTTAAAACTAGTAAAATACCGGTATTATAAATTATAATTAAATATTAAATTACCTAATAAAATCACAAAGACTGTCTCCGTGTTACGAAGGCATTGAAAGAAAGTGTTAAAAGCCAGTCATTAAAACAAATCAAAGCTTTGTGTTTTTGTTTCGTAAGATACTCTTATGAACTTTTTTTGTTTTTTCGACGATGAGCAATAACTTTTGTTATTTTTTCCACCAAATTTTTAATACCATAATTCACATAAAGATATTCAGTAATAGGAACATTATTTTGTTTTTTTTTCACCAAAATGGTGTCCCTATTACGTAATGATCCAAGTTTTTGGAAAAGGTTTGCGAGATGCATTTTAAAATAACAAAATAATGTCAAACCCGTTAGCAGGTGTAGGTGTTCATAACAATTTTCCTTGTATAAAATCAGGCGGTACAGAGTAGGCATGAGAACGAAATTGACGCAAAAAGCACTTGTAAAAACTGAGGAGCGTGAAAACTATAACTAGTTATAACATATAGACGGGGACATATAAATACAAGCAAGAGAGCCCGTAGAGTACAATTCACACGATGGTTCGACTGACGATAGCTTGTGTTGCCTTCGGGGTTATAGCTTGTGTTAGTGCTGCACCAGGTACATTGTGGTTATTATGTTATAAGAATTTAAAACATTTTAATAAATATTTTTATTTTATTGATTTTTATATTATATATATTTGAACAGGTTATGGTGGCGGCGGGGGAGGATTTGGTGGTGGCGGCGGAGGAGGATTTGGTGGTGGCTTCGGATATGGCGGCGGCGGCGGTGGAGGAGGTGGTGGAGGATATGGAGGTAGCAAAGGAGGTGGATCAGGAGGTGGCCACAGTGGCGGATTTGGAGGAGGAGGCGGTGGTAGCCTAGGAGATGGTCATGGTGGTGGCCTCGGGGGTGGTAATGGAGGTGGCAACGGAGGTGGTCACGGTGGAGGTCTTGGAGGCGGCAACGGAGGTGGTAGCGGCGGAGGACTTGGAGGTGGTAACGGCGGAGGACTTGGAGGTGGCAATGGAGGTGGTCACGGTGGAGGTCTTGGAGGTGGTAACGGTGGAGGACTTGGAGGTGGCAATGGAGGTGGCCTAGGAGATGGTCACGGTGGTGGCCTCGGGGGTGGCAATGGAGGTGGTCACGGCGGAGGTCTTGGAGGCGGCAACGGAGGTGGTAGCGGCGGAGGACTTGGAGGTGGCAACGGAGGTGGTCACGGCGGAGGACTTGGAGGTGGTAACGGAGGTGGCAACGGAGGTGGTCACGGCGGAGGACTTGGAGGTGGTAACGGCGGAGGACTTGGAGGTGGCAATGGAGGTGGCCTAGGAGATGGTCACGGTGGTGGCCTCGGGGGTGGCAATGGAGGTGGTAACGGAGGTGGTCACGGTGGAGGTCTTGGAGGTGGCAACGGAGGTGGTCTGGGCGGTGGCAATGGAGGTGGCCTCGGTGGTGGACACGGAGGTCATGGTGGACATGGCGGAGGTGGTCATAGTGGTGGTGGACACAGTGGAGGTGGTTATGGCGGATCCAGTGCCAGTGCGAATGCCCAAGCTAGTGCCAGTGCCAGCTCTGGAGGTGGTTATGGACATAAAGGATACGGGTGAGTTCCATCCACTTCCACAATTGATTATGGAAGCTGTTATTAGAAAATATATAAAAATTACAAATACGAAATATTTTTTTACATATAAGAATCGAAAGAATAATTTTATAAATAACATTTCTTATGTACCTAAACATAATTTAAGGTATATGTTTTTTCTTTTCCAGGCGCTGACACCAGGGTCTTGAAACAAGAAAAATCTAGACTAAAGAAACTAATGTGATATAATAGACTAAAATATAATTGACATAATGGTTCGATAATAAAAATATTCTCAGAAATATATTCTTTTGCCTTTGCATACCTTGCTTCAAATAAAAATAACACAATATTTTAATATTCATATAATTAAATTGTTACTAACTATATGGAATATAAGTAAATAAATATGTACATATAATCATTTTTCGTTTATGAATATATATAATAATTAAAAAATGTTTATTAAATTACATGTGTCGTATTCCTAGTTACAAATAATACAAAAAAATAAATAACAAAAATACATTGGTAGATATAATAATGTACATCAAAATTATCTAAAGCAATACCTCGAAGAGATTTTATAACTTTCTTCTTACCCCTAGTTTAAATTCTCTCACTAAATACGTAGAGTTAGCAGTTTTTCGCTAACATAACGAAAAACTCTTCGTAAGTATTGTTACCATACAAATCTCTGGTTATAATACCGGTCACGATTTAAGTCAGCGTATATCAGAAAGGTAAATTCCATTTTTATTTGAGTAGGTAACATATTTATTTATGTAAATACATTTATTATGAATACTCAAAACATTGTACGGATACTATTGTTGACAAAATGAGATCAAGCAGTAGTGATGTTGTTATCTGATATTTATTAATAGTCTCCATAGAACCAACTGAACTATAAACAATCTATATCACGGTAATCAAAATTCTGCCTACTTCCATGAGAGGCCCCAAAAGCCTTGTAAGAGAAGGCTAGTAAAATGTTATTCTAAACCAAAAAAATAAAAATGAATAGCTAGTTAAGCTCTATAATAGTCTAGGGCCCAAAAACCTTTCTGTTGAAGATTTTGACAACAGACAACTGAACTTTGTGGCCACAAGTACGCTTATTATAAGTTTGTATTGTCACAGTACATACTACATGAAACGTTGACTGTTTTTTATTTTATAAACTACGGTTATACTATAATGTATTGACATATACTAATAAAGCTTCGTATGCAGCGTGACTTATAACGTTAAATATCGTGACTGAATTCTTAATAAACTAACTAACTTATTTCTTAATACATGGAAGCTATTTTATGTCACTTAATAAAACCGTAGTTAAAAAGAAAAGCCTTCACCAAAATTAAATGGGACTCATCAAACGCCATCTGCACCCGTCTAAACAAATATTTATAGAAATAAAAAATAATGCGTGGAGTCCCAGCTCGCCGAAGAAGTGAAACTTCTTAATGATAAAAAATTCTTTTCCACTAAGTTTGAAAATAAAATACTGTCCTATTAAATTATACGTGCATCAAATCAAACCAAAAAGTTATGAATATAATAAATATTTATTAATTTTAATTTAGAACAACAACTACGTATTTCAGATAATTTCACGAGGCTCACACTGTTTCCTTCGCTGCACAGATTAGAATACCAATCTACCGACTCACTGTATTCCGCTCTCTTACTTACATTTGTGTATCTTTTTTCTTTCTCCCTCAGCGTAAAACGTTTAGCACAACCCTATTAAGTTTCATAGGAAGCTTCACTTCAAAAAGATTATTAATATTTTAATAATATGTATATCAAAATTAAAACAACATGATTGCTACCCATTTCTATGGATACCTTGGGATTACTGGCGTAAATAAATGCAAAAAAATGAAAATATTTTTATTGTCATACTGTTTATATGGATACCTATAATTACCATTTACATTATTAATCCCTCTATGGAATCGTAATGTAGATAAAAAATAAATAATAAAAAAACACAAAAAACTCCATTTTAAATAATCGAACTAAGATAAATCTAATAGTATATTGTATTAAAATGAAATGATTCCTTATAGCACAAATAAATATTAAAGAGGCTTAAAAGCATATTTTATGTTTTTTAGGTTTCCTGAAAATAAATTTACCATGAAAGAATTCGTTATATTGCATTCCCAAAGAGGGTTGATGTTAGGCAGGCGGCCGGTCGTAAAAACAATTAGCCAAAACTATTCAAAACATGTAAGGCAGACCCTGGCTAAAGCGGGGAATTTGCCAAGTAGAAGAAGAAAGATTTCGTTATAGTTTCGTTATAGTTATAGGTACCTAAAAGGTAGGTAGTGTTCGCTGTCTAATGGTAAATTAATTTATTAGTTTTCTTAACATGTAAAAAACGTAATCACAATTACCTGACTAATAAAAACTATCAAAGCTTTGAAGGTCGCAAGATATTTCTTGTGCATCCTTTCACACGGCATTTACTATAAAACAGACGAAAGTAAACAAAACTCGACCAAAACAAACTTAATAATGGCGAAAATAGTCTTCCTTGCAATACTTATTTTAGTTGTGAGTAGTTCTCTCTGCTGGCCAGGTAAGGAAATCTATCTATCTATCTAATGTCGCAAATATTGAGCTAACATCAAACTAGTTTTAAAAATAGTTAACAGAAAATTATTATATTTCATTGAATTTTTTTATACGTAGCATATTATAATTTTTAAAGAATGTTAAACAACTTCATTTTTATTACTCATTTAAGTTTCTTATATTTCCGTGACTTATAGCCACAAAAAAAATGTTACATAAAATTGGTTATAATACCTACTGAATTTCAAAATATTTTTTTTTAACTTTATGCAACCATTCCCAAAAGCCCTGTCATCGAGGTCAATAAGTAATACGAACTCACTAGGAATAGATTCTTCGTAGATTAGTACGCAGTAGAAGTGGGAGCTAGATGTATAACAGCTAAATCTCTCTAAAACCTACTAAAAGACTTGGGCCTGTCCAGAATAACATCAGTTAATTCTTAGAACGTACATCGTAGACAGTCCTAGTAGGTTAGTTTCAAATTTGGTTAGGTAGAGACAGGAGCTTTGACGGTGGAGGTGACCATTTAACGGGCGTTATATAGGGCTCCCTTAAACATACACCTGGGTAGCAAGTCCCAAATACTGTTGAAGTTCCTCTCCCTGCAACGCTTTAGACCCGGCACTCACACGGTGAATCCATCAAATGCTGAGAAGTTTGGTGTCAAAGTAATAAAAGTAAATTAATATGTATGTATAAATAATTCTGTCCCAGGTGATACTTTATATAAAGTTGTCATTACAATGTGTTATATATTTTCAGGTAATATGAAAAAAGGCGACGACAGTGACAGCAAGAGCGACTCTAGCTCCAGTGAAAGCTCAGAATGTAACGGAAAGGGAGGCAAAGGGTAAAACTTATCCCTACTAATATTATAAATGCGAAAGTAACTCTGTCTGTCTGTCTGTCTGTTACGCTTCCGCGCCTAAACCACTGAACTGATTTTAATGAAATTTGGTACAGAAATAGAGTTGACCTTGAGAAAGAACATAGCATAGTTTTTATCCCAGACTTTTGAAGGGTTCTCTTTGAAACGCGATATAACTGAACTCCACGCGGGCGAAGCTGCAGGCGGAAAGCTAGTATTTATATAATTATCATTAAAAACATTAAATTTAATCTCGAATTAAACAGCCAAGTGTCGATTTTGTACTTGTTCTATTTTGAAGTCTATATATATTTCTGGTTTCAAGAAAGGTTAATTTGTAAGTTCTTTGTTAAAAAATATCTTAACACACTTATTAAATTGCGCTAATAAACATGTATATATTATATATGTATTACCACCTTTTTAATAAAAGCACTGAACTTCAATGTATTTTTCTTTATAAATAAATGAGTCATTTGAATTTCAGTTGCGGCGGCAAGGCAACCTTCAAGGGAAAAGGCGGAAACATTAAGAAGGACTTCTATAGTTTTTAAAAGTCTTAATACATCACATTAAAATAATTCTCAGTATTTTATGTGCTCACAATAATTTATTTGTTTTTAGTACAACTGTATATAAATTATGCTAGTAAAACAAACCAATCAAATTAATAGAAGTCAAATATTACTTTATTAGATATATGAATGTTTGTTTGATTTTAATATACATTCCCAGTACATCATTATTATTCAAAAAACATAATGGAAAAACGAGTATTATATATGACCCTATAGTCACTTAAAAAATTATTATAAAGTTTGTGCTTAATCAAATATTTCATACATTTGAAAAGTGTGAAATTTAAGCGATACAAGTTCAAAATAGTTAAAATAAAACTATTCTTTTTATGCTATGGCTTCATTCGCAATGGAATTGTAGAGTATTTTGCTAATTTCAAAGGTTTTATTTGTTGAACGAATTATAATCTTGAGTACTGCGTGAAGAAAACGCGAAGGAGGTTTTGGAATAAAATAAAGGCTTATTTATTTATTATTAAGAGTTTAATTTTATTATAACTGAAAAAAAAATTATTAGAATGTCAAGGTAAGAGACATTTTTCAAATATCATTATTTTTAAACAAGTGTGTACCAGTATAAATTATATATGGATAATGATTTTAAGCAGAACGTCTGTACCAATATATGTGTATAAAAATTCAAAACAATATGGGATATATTGTTTTTTTAATAATTTCTAAAATGTTTCGTATAAGTAAAATTTTAATGTGTTATAAATGTGTTTTGTATCTAAAAACCTAATTCTGATGTTGAAAATGATAGATGTAAGAACTAATGATAGATATAGGTAATATAATATACTTAATTTTTTTATTAAATAGATCACTTCATTAATATACTAAAATACGTTTAACTTACCTAAATAACTCGAAAGACATGTCAGTATTGCCATAATCCGACGTGAGGTCATAATAAAAGAGGTTTCTTCAAATAAAGTTTTTATTTACAAATAATTAAAAAAAAACTAGGCGACTCGCAGGTCACTGTAACAAATACAAAGCCGTACCGGAATTATGACCAGAGTTATATTTATATTACAACGGAGACTTAACTAACACTTCAAGACTTAATATATTGTGAAAATACAGAGGACCCTTTAACACTACCTGGGAGTCCCTCTAGATATTTCTTTGTGATGTTTTGGTACATTTCTATTACTAGTCATTAAATTATAGTATATTTTTATTTAAGAATAATATAATATTTATATAAAATCTATTTATAAACCACGGCATTGTAAATCGTTGATCGAAATTTCTATATTCAAATACTAATATGTATGTATTATATAATATTACTAAATCCACATCAGCGCGAGGCTCCTACACTACGAACAAATACATAGCAACAAACAAGAATTCAGCTATACTAACACATTACAATAATTGTATAAAAGTGAACTAGTAAAAAATTTTACTAAACATTTTTTTTTATATATAATAAATGGCAAAAAATATATAATAAAGTTAAAAGCAATTATTAGAGCGATTGCACAAAACTTACGAGAGCCGTGTTCACATTTACATCAGACGGATACGACACGACATCGATGCGGGATCGTGTCGTGACGTGTAATTATTATTTATAATTTTTTTGACCAAATGTAAACACAGCAATTCATAATTGTAGCACCGTAATTGAAATAGTTATTTTTGTTTAAATATATTTCGTTATATAAAAATTTTAGATAAAATTGATTAATTATTACAATTAATTATTTATTATAAACCTTAATACAAATATGTACTTTAAAAAACATTATTATATACAATTTTTGTTTATTTCATTGCACATGGATAGTGTACTTATACGTTCTAGAATATTTGATTTATTAAAAAAGTATATATAACAAAAAAAAACATTATGCATTCTGGCAGTGAGCTGTATAGGGATTCAATTATTGCACACAAAGTTTGTATAGTTAAAATCCATAGACAAAATTCGATAACGACATTATTTTTTAATATATATTGTACCCATTATTATGGCGATCGTTTATATCCTTATTCTAATCTATAATACCAGCTGCCACTTATTCATCTATATATTTTACACACGACCCAGCCTTCGGTCCATTCGGACATTTAATATAAAATAATTGCAACACCGGAACCACACATGTATAACTATATAATAATAAAAAAATACAATGAAAATTACGTTATTAAATCTCTTCATATAAAAAAAAAATGAAAAAATTTCGCTACAAAAAAGTATATATAATTCGATATAGTTTTGTATGTGATGTTTTATACTAGTGTATTTTTACAGTAATGTTCCGTTTGTTTTTATTAACACTAAAAGGTGTATTCATATAAACTGGACCTAAACTAATATAAAATTCTAATCACTAGCCATGTAACTCGCAAAAACTTAAACCAAATGCAACCTTGTGGACACTGCCTTAGCATTCCCGTTAATTATTTTCTGTTTAATAAAATTTATAGGCAAAAGAACACATACAGATCGCATTATATTCCCAGTGATATATTTTATAACTAATATATATGTTTGTCGATCGAAACCAGACCTTATTTCCCTCCTATTAGAGTTGCTTTTCACACGCTCTGTTATAAAGTTTTGTAAGTTAACGAAAACGGAATATAAAAAAGCTTTTACGTATCACGGTTAGTATTAAAATTGTATACCTACAACATAACAGTTGATCTTGATTAGACGACATTTTGTTTTTTGCACAGATAATCATAAAACCTGGCAATTATTATAAACATATGTATATATTGCGGCAACAAAAAAGTTAAGTATGCTTCACTAGCATCATAATGAATAAATAATTTGTCGCAAACAATTTATATACTAACCGTGACACGCCTTAAAAAAAATTGAGCACAGATTAAAAAAGACTAACGCGAAATGCACAGACGAGAAATGCAATAAACATTGTTATTCAGTCAGAGATAAACGTTTAGTTACTAAATAGTTTGTATATAAAAATATTAACAAGAATGAACGATTTTTATATAAATATTAAATTTATAGATTTCATTTAAAAAAGACATTAACTGGAATAGGTAGAGAATAAAAATTACAATATCATGATTATAAAGTATGAAGAGATAGTAAGATATAGGAAAATAAATATAAGATTCCATATTTGTTGTGGGAAAGATAAAAAATAATATTAAGTGTCTAAAAGAGTACGCGATAATATAAAACTAATACGTCGAAGGTCATACATGCTTTATATATTAAATATGACCTGATCGTTTATTAGAGGTTCGGGCGCACATCACACAGTACGTGTTCACAGATGCGACTCGTACAGAGTGTGACGTCAGAGCGACGTGTCCCCGGCCGGCGAACGGTCTGAGCTGCGGTCGGCGGGGTTCATGTCGATACGGCTGGCGCGGAGCCACACCAACATATCCATTATGAAGGCCAGGAACATCAAACCGGCGGAGAGACCTGCGATAACAAACATGTATGTAGACTGATAGTGAGATTTACGTAACATAGATGGCACCACTGTCCTAAATATAAAGTTTAATTAGATGCAATTTTTAATTCGTCGACTCTAGCAGAAAAAAAAGTAAAATCATTTATAACATGCCAGTATATGCTTATTCTATTTTCAAAATTACAAATTTAAATGGTCATAAGAGAAAGGTTGTTTGAGGTCTACTGCGACAGTTCTAAGCAAATTTTTTATTCCATTTTTACAATTCATTTAAAAAAATCATATGTAATTAAGAAAAAGGTTCTTTTCGGCCTGATACGACAGTTCTAAGCAAATTTTTATTAAATTTTTAAAATTCATTTAAATGAAAATCATATGTACTTAAGAAAAAGGCTCTTTTCGGCCTAATACAACAGTTATAAGCAGAATCTTTTTTTTTTATGTTAAAGCTGGCAAACGAGCAGACGGCCCACTTGATAGAAGGTGGTCACCGTCACCCATGGACATCCCATGTATTTTTTTAGGGAAAGGGGGGGGTGGGAATAAGGAAATACAAGGAAAGGTTTGGAAAAGGGAAAGGGAAATCTTCTACTATTGATGGTATATGAGTGATGATACCTAGGAAGAAGTGTCTGAATCTATCACTGTCGTAGCTCGCGCAGGCTCCTATGAGTCCGCAGGCCGCGTCCCGAAGGCGGCAAGCGGCGTCTATAGCCGCGCCGAAGATAATCGGACACGGCACGTTACCGAACACGCCGATCGCGAATTGGATCACACCCATGGCCATCGCTTTATCTGTTATATGAACAATTATATATTAATTAATTTAATAATATATAGAATTTATGAAATTATTTTGTTGAAAATCTGCTTTTATATTTTTGTGAACTTTACAACTTTGATATGTCAACTTCGTTTATTTATTTATTTTTGTAGTTGTGGAGTAAAATCGAACATACGTACATAATGCTCTGATACGGAACCTCCGTAACAGAAATTCGTTTAAAATAATTTGAAAGAAAATAATTTGAATCTAAATGGAATACTCTTGCACTGTTAATTAATCATAGTATTTCAAATTAAATAACTTTGGTAAAATATTAATATGAAAAATCACACAATTGAATCACCCAAAGATCGAATCCGGTTAAATCAATTAAGACTTCATCAACAACTTACACAATTTTATCTATAAAACATAAATTCATTGTAATCTAAGCTCTATATTAATACAATAAAGTATATAATCACCCTGTTTATCTGTGCAGCGTATAATAATGAGCACAGCGCCGACTTCTCCCGTGGCGTGAACGAACATTATAGCCGCGAAGATAGCTATGAACACGTAGATCTGGTTACACGCGCCCCCACACTCACCGGACACAGCGAACGAACTCGATGAGAAACTATCGGCTACCGAATAACGCTCGAGCCTGGGGAAGAAACTAGTATGTGAATATATATATAGAGGACTCTGAACATATATATATATATGTTCTAGAGTGGGGAAAATAGTTGGTCTGGATATACAAACGGAAATATGGGCACGTGTATAAACAAATATATTAATGGTGGAGTGATTAAGTTTGGATTAGAATCCTCTGCAACATACGGACATGATATAGAGGGTTCTGGACATATATATGTTCTAGGGTAGGAAATATAGAGGAATCTAGATATATATACACGGAAATATAGGCACATGTATTAACAAATATACTTGTGGTGGAGTGATTGTGATGAGATTAGGATTCTATAGTCTAGAGTGTATGCAGTAGGATTTTGTCAATACCAATGGATATACAAGAATCTGAATACATACACATGGAAATGTGTATGAACATATATACTTATGATAGAGTGATTGAGTTAAAATTAGTATCTTTTAGAGTCTAGGCAGTAGAAGACTTTGTCAAAACCAATAAATACAAATTACTGTTTGATCTAAGAATTTATTCCTACACGAACTGAAAATCCAATAAAAACTATAGTAAACTGATTATAACTGTCACAGAATAAGATACTATTTATTTATCATGAGAGTACACAAAATACATCTTCATCCATTATGAAAAATATAAATAGGAATGTAAGCAATATAAAGTATTATGGGTTAAAAAAAATGTTTTTATACGCACGTGTTAACAGCTTTTTCTCCGAGCATGGTCCCATTGATGCAAGAACAGTTATAGTACAACCACGTACTATTGTCTAGTTGTTGGCTGTTTGCACAACCGGCTTGACACGGCGTCTGATAAGTAAACGAATCCTGGAAAAAGATATAGTCGAAAATATTATTTCAATTGGTTATTTAAGCAATATTTCAGAATCTAAACTACAAGGTCCAGTTTTAGCTATAAGTTAATTTGGTTCAATATGCTATCTTCTCCATATAAGAGGCTTTTGCTCAGCAGTGGGCGTTGATAGGATGATGATGATGCTATCGTATTTTGAATTTCTTAAAGATCTATATAATTACTTTACATGTATATTTCAAAGCAATGTTATTTGGTGGTACAAAACACTGAATTGTTTCATGGTCTTTGGATGTGGAACAAGCAGATAAAATGGCAAGAATTATTCACAAATTTTATATAGAAATAAAACAAATTTTAATGGACATTAAGTTCGCTGTTTTTGGTAGGTCTTCTCCAAAAAAACTGAAGTGCTTTAAGTTCCTTACCTGTCCACATACAGGCGAGTAAGGTGCTCCGTAACAGTTGCAGTCAGAACTACAAGACAAGTTGTAGGCGTCCAATGAACGGAACGTCTCCTCGGGACACGACACGAACATTAAAACGACCATACCTATAGAACGATCGTACGTACAATAACTGATATAACACATACTAAGGTTTGTGAGGAAGTAGGGATGTATGATATTTGTATATCTTTAGTGCTGAAATTGCTTAACGGATTTGGAGGAAAGTTTCCAATAATGTAGAATAAACATATTATATAATTGACATAACATCGCGCAGAAGCTACGAAATCTTTTGTTTTGTATGAAGTGAAGTGACACACTCAATAGAAGTGTTAGACTTAGACTCTACTTTTTATTTACAATAATATATAAGAAATAAAATTTATCATGTGAAAGTTTTGCGAGTGTACAAATTTATTTCTCAATCAGGCATTTTGCCCAGCGGATTTAAATTTCTCTTTCCAATGATTTAATGGCTAAACTAGTACATATGATATGAATATTCATGTTTCTGTTACCTAAACCAAAACTAAAAGTAACCAAAACTTCGGGAGTGTGTAGTTCTTTCAAATTAGTATTGGTTTTATTTAAATTATATGACATACATAGTCCAAAAACTTCACAAATAACGAACACTCTTTAAGAAATAAAATCTAAGACTGATCCTACAAAATTTCAACAACTCAATTCAAGCCAGAAACAGACATAAAATATATCAATTATACCAAAATGAAATAATTATACCAAAAGAAATAGCACAAAACCACAATCAAATAAACAAAGTATATATATTTATGATCCTACCAGCACTATATATAGCAGCGGTAGCAGCCGTCCACGCGGCCACTTGTCTAGCTGTTGGCACTAGTTTGAGGATGACAACTCCTGAAGTGATGGTGCCCAGACCCATCACTAAGATACCACCAAGACCTGAGACGATCAACGATCAAACGGTTAGTTAAAAGTAAAATTAAATATCCTATCACCAATTTTACATACATTATTATGAGATCTGAGACTTTCGTGAGTATTCATTTAAATGAAACTAATATTTTTAGTCCCGAGATCTCGTCTGAACGTAATCACGGTTGCTGCAAAGTAATCGAAATTTCGGGAGTATGTAGTTTTTAAAATGAATACCATAACGCGTAGTACCCAAAAATATTAGTTTACATTACAATAATCAAAACATTTTATATATTAAACATTTTTTTTTTATTCTTGTTTAATTAATTTATTATACTAACATAGGAGATAAGTAATATATCACTAACAATAAAATTGAGTCATAGTCACTTGAAATAAAGAAGTTTTTATTATTATTATTATTATTATTATACCCAAAGTACCAAATTATTTAAATTCAGAAACATAATATTTCACGTCAATATTGTATAGTTTATAGGTATATAAAAAATATAAGTGTTTATAGTAACCTTAAAGATCAACTATTAGTACCTCACCCGAGACAAGGTTGGCGTCGTGTGTTGGTAAACGGAACTGCTTCTCCAAGTATTTGGGCAGGAAGGAGTATATGCCGCTGATGGGCATCAAGTGTAGAACAGAGGACGCCGTGCGCCACATGAGGATGTCGTTTGTCAGTTGGCGTTTTATAGTCACGAAGAAATCTGTAATGAGAAGATATACATACTACAGTTCCTTTACTGCCATAGAAGATGTAGCATTTGTATATAAAAGATTTGAGTTATATTCGTATATACAAAATTACACACAATTGACAAAAAAATATGTATTTTTTATTTAATATACGAAGTGCTTGTACTACAAAAAAATATATAAAATACATACTACGATCTCTTTTTCGTTATTTACGTAAAAAATCAGTGTGATGGAATATCAACCAATTAATTTCTTCATAATAATTAGAAATATATTATAAATAACTCCTGAAGACGTGAAGCAATAAAAATATTGATTCTTACAAATTTTACAGGCTCTTATATTCACATTACTACACACAGAACTTTGTTCCCAAATAATATTATACACCGTTTTCAATTTAACAATCAGTTTCAGAAGAAACCACATAAAAATATCACTATACCGATACAAAGGTCACTGTATATGGTTTATATATTATATACCTATTAATATTTCTCCCCGTGACTTATTATAAAAATAACCTTCGAAGCCCTAAGCTTAAACAATTCTGAGAACTTTGGTGTCATTGTTAGAACGTAAATATTGTATGGAAGAATCAAACAGTGGTAGAAATTAAGTAAAATATATATAGTAAATGCTTATATGTAAAGCATTGATTTAGTCTGTAAATTGGCTTTCCAGTATTTATTTTTAATACACATACGGTTTTTACATAATTTCATCATGATAACTTTTTGGGACATAAATTGAAATATTTAATCATTAGGCCTCAGCCTCGAATTTTGCGGGCAGCGGAGCGGCAGCGGGAGCGGCAGGATCTTACGCGTATAATCAAATGGACCGACCCTCGAATACAGCGGTGCCCGCTGCCCGCTAGTTTGGAGAAATGTATGCGTTTCCGTGCCGGCGCCGCCGCCGCTCCCCTGCCCGCAAAATTCGAGGCCGAGGCCTTAGAGAGGACTAGAGGAATTAACAACATTTTCTGATTTCATTTGTAAATAAAAATCCTACGCATTAATTATCATGTAATTATTACACTGGCACGCAAAAGAAGCCTTACCTACATCGTTTCTAAAAAGAACTAATACTCTTATACTGCTAGATCGATATTAACCAAACAAAACTATAAGAAATATCGCAATGAAATTGGCTTCGAAATTAAAACAGTTATGTCGAAATCGGTATAACTGTTTAGGAGCTACTATGCTACAAACAGACACATACAGACGTCATCGCCAAACTTATAACAGCACTCTTTTTGCGTGGGGTTTAAAAAGGACAAATTTATAACCCTTTCTCAGAAACATTAAGGAGTTTAAAACATATTCTTAATGTGTTAAAATTCTACTTTTTGTGTTCTATGTATTATTACAGGTTGATTTATAAAGTAAATTTTTATGAAACAAAAACTAAGTTTAAATACTAACAACACATTTAGCTGAATAATATATTTTGAAAATAACTTCTTCTTTGTAAACAGATGACAGCCATAGTGAAACTAAGTTAGTTCTTAAATTATAATTAAAAATACAATTATTTGTTATGTTCAGTTAATTAAGAGAAATATAGATTTTTGATATGGGTCTTTAGCATAAAAAAATATTCTAATTTGGCTAGTTTCCTAAAGTCATATAATTGTCTCAATATATTTTTGTAACGTTAAAACTAAATCTCTAATTTTGTTACAACGGTTTTAACATTATCAACTCTTTGAAATGTATGTAGTAAAATTTTGGAACATTGTAACAAAATTATTCTATAAATAGATATAATATTCTATGAATAATAATCTGTTTGTTTCCCGTGACAATTAAATGGCATTACGTTAAAAACAAAGTACTATGTCAAGGTTAACAAAGCACCCCGTCACGAACAATATAAACGATTGCGATCTAACCTTTGTTATATGTTATTCTAAAACTAAAATGTAATTAAATTATACATATTAAAATACGTTATATTATACATTATACGTACCTTTGAAGAAGGGTTCGCTTTTTTCTTTGCTCTTTTTCAAAGTCAATGGCATAGGTCCTTGTTTTATTTGACGAGGGAAGAAAAACATTAGAGTCGAAAGTATTACTATGAAACCGGCTATGAACACCATACCTGGAAACAAATGAATAAATACATAAATGAATAAATAATTATATAAGTGTAACCAAAAAAAGACTTAGAACGGAATATAAATAAACTTAATTTAAAAGAACTGATGAAAATACCTTATGCTTATATATTCTATATATTTTTTTATAAACTAAATAATTATTCAAAAAGTAAATCAAAGAAGAAATTACGCTCACATTATTTTATTAATTACTATAATGTTTTATAAAAAAAATCTTATTAAAACATTTACGAGAATCGTTTACAAAAATTAATTGATATTTTTATGTTCCTTTTTTATTTATTTCATTTAATGTATATAGAAAAATATACTATATATATTATAGCCTCTTTTTGTTAAGATTAATTTAAAACTAACGCTATGGCTAGCTTCATTCACACTAGAATCGTGGAATATTTTGCTAATGTAATTTTTTTTATTTTTTTGGGCGAATCAAACACTATCATTATTCCATCAATCAGACAGTACAAGTCTAGACTTAGATAGAAATCACAGAAACAAAACAGCAAAATTCCACCGTCTCGTGTTAATTCTATTAGGTATCCCGCTAAACAATTCCGACATTCAAATGCACTTATGAGTTAATAACACAAGTAATTAATCTACTGTTGCTAAACTAACGCTAATATATTAATCATACGATATCTGAATATATTACACAAATAAGAACAAATCTGTATCATCTACGCTGAGAGTGATTATGAGAAGATTAAATAACTGCTTAACTAAACTGTAATGAGCATTACTGTACCGAGTATATTCAATGATGTATAAAATATATTTCTCATATAACCTTTAGAGTAGATTCATCACACAAAAACCGAATATCGTGAATCGTTACCAGAATACTTAAACACTATAAGTCAAACACGTATATATATTGATGTATAGAAGAACATAATTCTAATTCCGTAACAAGATGCGTGCACACGCATTTTTAACGACCGTACATTCTTTTGTTGGTTTAAGAATGCCATGCAACATAGTGTGAGGTTGATATCTAGCTTATAGGTAGATTGTATGTATGTATCACATCTCATATAGTACTATCGAAAACACATATCCTGATTATAAATCTAAACAGAGAAACATTTACGTGTTACAAGGTCGCCCGGTCGCCGCCGAGTCAAGGGCGTTCGGTAGACACTGTATAAGTGAGAATACCATTTAAATTGTTTACCCTATTCCAATATTGATTACCGATACACGCGATGTAACTCATTGCACAGCTGACGCTATATCTTTTAATTATAAGAATCACATAGAAGTCGCCTGTTTGCTATCATTATAGATGATCCAGAAACAGGAGACATCCTCTGACATAGAACAAGGAGACGAAGGTTATGTGGACCGGTTTAAAAGTAAAAGTGATCAAGACGGCAGCGTTTCCACCCACTAAATCCTCATTACGACCGGCGATGGCATAATTGTAGTGAGAAACGAGCCACGAACAGCCTTGGCCGTGACCGTGCGGATAGAATGATTATTTTAGTTTTGGTGACGCGGAGTGAGGTAATGCATTACATAATACGTACGTACAACAAACGAATAGAGATACAAAACATTGGGACAAATCTATCAGTTACGAGGTAGGAACAAGCAACTATCAAGAACAGAGATTGGAGATGCAACACATCTAAGATGTAATGATTAGTCAATTTATCATCATTTAATTACAATAAAATTATACCATACAAGTACAATCACACCGATTTCTGATAAATCTAATCAACTACGTAACAGATAAAAGTGAATAAACGTAGTGATAAATGCTGATACTATAAAAATGTAGGGTGAATAAGATGACCTTTATCGTATCGAATTATGCAAAAAGAGAACTAAATATTATATTTCCTATAAGAACAATTATAACAACACACTATTAAGCTGTAGTAATACAAAACGAGAATAAGAATTAACGTTTTCAGTAATAGTAAACTGCGACTTGTATCAGTGAGCCGACCATTAAAAACTTATTAAAATTCCGCGCCCCATTCATAAGTGTACAGTACACTGTCAATAAGGAAATACAAGGAAACCATTGAATGCGTACTTGCGAATTCAGTTTATTGCCAGTCGAAGCACGGCCGGTGTAGTTTTCTACTTGACAAAACTAAAATAATAATTGATGGAAACCGAACCCTGCCATAAGGGTATTAAAGGCGCCACTGACGGTAGGCGTTTGCAAATTTCGCTTGGTAGTAATATGCACGCATTTGATTAGTAGTATGGTCACGTGCATGCTTTCTTCGTGGATTTCGCGCGCAAATCTAAGCCAATGCTTGGGTAACGGTAGCCGGCAGTTCCGCGATCCTCATTGTGGTATTCAAATGCCTACAAAGACATTTTACAATGGAACATTACCCTTAAGCAAACGTACGTCAAGTGTCCCATAAAGCAATACTGTCACCTCAAGTTTAAATAACTCATCGACTTTATGGAATTTAAAATATGTTTTGAACGAAATTTAGTATGAAACTAACACGTTTTGTGGCTTAAGAGTTAGATTTTTCTTTTGTAAAAGTAATTTTTTTATATACATTTTGATGGTGTACCAAGAGCCGGTAATTAGAGTTGCTTTCCATTAAGGATTTACAATCCGTCTGTATCAAAAAACGCGCGGTCATACATAATTCATGAGGCGGGGTCGATAATTATTAAGAAATTATATTTATTACTATACATGCATGCAATTTCAAAACCTTTATGAAGCAGAAATTTATCGTTACAATTTTTTTATAAACACGCATCCGGTTGTAAAGAACATTAACAATATTCTTTTGAACTTTAAATCAAATAGTAATACAATGCGTGTGACGTAGAGAACGTACGGAGAGAAGTCTTTTTATACTTCTTTGCATTACCATAGTTAGTATACTTAATATATTGCTTTGAGTATAAAGATTAAAGAAATCCTTAATGCTGTAAATGTTACTTCTTACCGATTCTTAACTTAATTATAAACCAAAATGTTTTTTTTGTTTAGGTCGTCATTTATTTCGCTCAATTCTATCTCGTCTGAATTTAGGAAACTTTGGCTTAAATTTGAAATCACAGAATACGAAAAGTAAACCCGAAAAATAGAGCTCTATTCGAATCTATACACATCAAACTTCCACATCAATAATATTCTCATTATAATAGTATTGATTTCAACAAAACTCACCCAGCCACCAGGCGCCGACCCATCTGGGGTCGCTGTATTCATACCCGGGGTCTATGAGGGGATCCACGTACACACGGGTACACAGAGCCCCCAACAAGAAACCCAACGCCGGCCCGATCACTCTTATACCGATCGTAATACCTGGAATTAAAATACAATACATTTACCAATATCTTCGACATTTTTTCACTATAAAAAAAAACTATTGACTTAACTATATTTTATCTTAATCATCCAATTATAATAAATGTATATTTAAGATTTAATCAGCAATATATTTAGTGTAAAATCAATTCTCGGCTCGTGTTTAAAAATAAATCAAAAATAAAACATAAATAACACCGAGTGCATCGGAGCAGCGGAATAATTCAAACGTGTATAGAGCCAATAAATAACAATGGTCTGGACATAATTAAATATAACTTAAATATATGTTTTTTCATATGTTTTATGTTAACCACAAGCTTCCATATTGTAAAACAGCATTAATGACTTGATATGAACCTTCCGTCCCTACAGATAATGGAAATCATTTTTTAGTCGTATTAAAATAATATAAGGTCGATGACTGAATAAAACACTGTCCCAGTTTTCTTGGTAAAATTGAAGTTATATTAAAAATATGAGACGTTGGGTGAGTGACCGAAAAACAATCGAGTACTTAGGTACCGAATGTAATCTTTCGCCGAAATCGTAAGTACGCTTGCCAAAAGCCAGACGATCTCACGCACGCTGCATGCAAAGAAATTATTTAATACACGAACATCGGACATCGTAATAAAAATGATGCATTAAAAAAACATATCGGCATTTAGGACAAAGTACGAATATAAAATAATATTACATCACTAATTAGTTTGATAAAATTTTAGTATGTATTAAGATACCTGGTATTAACTTTGTCGAGACCGATTCGGGATGGATCATTAAAAATATTAAACTGCTGACTTAAAATAAAGAGAATCGTTAAAGTATAAGGAACAAGTTTTAGGAGATACGGCGGTACGATGTTTTTGTGTATCATATATCAGAAGGGCATTCAAAGAATCATATACACGAGGGTTTAAAAAATTGTTTTAAATTATTAAATAATATTAATCAGGAAAAAAACATGATTTTGTATAGAAGACAATAAGATTTCTCTTCATCCATAGTAAATTAATTTACAATACACTACTATAAATATATATAAGGATAACATATATGCTTCTTATATATATAGTATATTCCATAATTATTATTCTTAGAAGCATAAAATTATTAAAAAGATTTATGTATATAAAAAAGTCAGTGCGCTTCGCTAGGTACTAGACTAGTTCAACGATCTCAACACGAGAACATGACTAATGATTCCAATACATACATACATAATACAAGTGTATTCTCTAGAAATTAACTGACATTAAACAACTATGAAGATGAATAAAAAAAACGACTGAGAAAACTTTGCCTGTAAATATATTAAACAGACTATTTATTAAGCATTGTATTTTAACCTAGCTTGAGCTTGGCCTGCAGTACGTACAATAAACATCTAATGGTCATCGGATAAACAAAAAATCATCAAAGAATTATAAATACGAATAACATATCAATATGTGATGTTATTGACAATGTCACATTGCGATAGTATGTATAACGGAATCCGTGATTTTGTCAGCTATAACTGTTTTTGTAAAACAGTTAATTTGGCTGATCATGACGAGCTAAATTCGCTTGTCCTGTATCCTTACCACGAGTGTACTTAGGAAGAATAAATACGGATAGTTTGATAGTTTGTCATTCATATAACGTTGATTTTCGTGTACGAAGTTTTAAAATATTAAGAATATTTATAAATTAATATAATGGATATTGTTGTACTAGTGTAGTGTGTGTTCAATTTATCTTAATTTACTTAAAATAAAGAGTTATTAATTGCTTTTAGCTTAATCATTTAAATGCAAACATTTCTTACATAGTGTAATTATCTAAAATATTCCATAGAATATGATTGCTATATGAAAATAAATAAATTTTATTTATACTTTAACTAAAAACAAATTAAGTACATACTCCTTTGAGTAATAAAAAAATCTTGTTACTAATAATATGGTACCAAATTTTTCAATACCACCTAACAGAAATTACTATTTGGGGACCCACATACATGTATGTACTCGTATATGGCAATAATCCATATATGTATAATCGTAATCATTCAGTCCTACAAATATACGTATAACTAGAACTCATTAAAAATAACTTATGTGTAATGTGAACATTATCCCTCATTCGTGATAAAGAGGTTGAACAAATTACCACAAACTCTTGAAACTTGTCAGCGAGTAAAATGAACTAGCACGACATGAAATGGTCGCATCCCGTCCCACTGACACAAATACGCATCGTTTAGGGCTGACCCAATAAATTAATTGGAATCGATTGTTGCAACACCTAATAATATTCGATAAGTTAAAGGGAACGTATCTTCTTAACGACTGGCATGTATAATGTATCGTATTTTTATATAACACGTACAAAATTAAAATTAGTTATATTAAAACTTATGTCGTGAAAACCCTGTGTACCAAAATAGTGCATCTCCATGCGGACAGCGTCTGAAATGTTTCGCAAACCGCATGCGCACGCGCATCGCCTTTTGTTAGAATGCTATATTTGTTTGTGTAATGTTAGACACAGACAGCACTTATACTTAAAATACATTGTGTATAAATAAAATCAAATAAAAAGTTTAAGGAAATTTTAAATTATTATGTTTGAAAGCAAGGACGATTAACATACGTCTAATCGTATCATATTAAATAATTACAAAACACACATACCAGTTTCAGCTACATGATAACACTCAAGGATAGGTTGTTGAACTATGAACTGATAAAATGTTAATTTAAATTATCTAGCTTACATAGAAGACAATTCCTTAACCTCATCATAAACTTATCTTAACGACTTCGAATATAAATTAAAACTGTTGATCATAGAATTAACGTTATTTTTCCATTGTTTATATGAATAAGTGAATAATTTTGTGTATTATATTTATAAAACCAAAAATAGTCATCATATTCTCGTCGGCCATATTATAAAACCGTTACAAGGCCGATCATGTTTTATGTATGACTGTCGTCCCCACTCACAGCGATAATAAACATCTATTAATATATAACAGATTTTCTATATATATAAATAATACTTAAAAATATTACAATCTAAGTCAAAAACGAATTTAAATTTAACTCTTATTTATATGAATAAAACCGAAGATTTTAGTACGATCTTAAAAACATTATTTATTTATATGTACTTTAAATTATTTTAAAAATAAATACAATAAGTGACCTAAATATGTTACCAGTGCATTATTATTCACTGATAACGAAAAATAAATTTACACAAATTTATTTAGCGATTGTAAAAATAATATTGAAACATATCTTCTGCATTATATTATGAGTAATATGTATTATCTGTTATATATTCAAAAGTTTAGTTAAATACATAAATGTAATGACAATTTTATTTTCTTCTTTTTGTAAGAAAAGTTTCTAATAATGAGATCTAAGATTTTCGCGAGCATTCATTCGAATGAAACTAATATTTTCGTATTTACTAAGCGATTTTTATTTTTGATTATAAACTACATACTCCCGAAAGTTCGGTTGCTGTAATCAAAAATAAAAATCGCGTAATAAATCCGAAAATATTAATTTTAGTTACAGTTTCTATTCTAATGTTAATACTTTTTGGGACCGAAAGCATAACATATTCCTTGTAATAATATTATATCTAGTAATATTATTAATATTTACCCGCTATCACTGTGACCACACCCTATCAGTACTAATGTCGGCGAACGTTGCGGGCATTATTGAAGGCTGGCTCTACCCTACTGTCCTTTAACGTAACCACAAACATATGTTCTCATAGCAATTTTTAATTAATAACACTAAAATTACATCGTATATATGTTTTGAAACAGAATAATCTATGATTATTTTTGAATTCTAAACAGAATATTTTAATAATTTATAAATAATTTAACTCATTAGTAAGACCAAATTCGCGTTAAGTAAAGATATTTATATGTATTTTGTTGGTAATCCGAAAAAGGTTTTAAGTTACTTCGTAAGAGAACATTTACCAGATATAATTATCATATGGCGTTAAAAGTTATTTAGTTCTTATTTAGTATATACTAGAAGTAAACATAATGCATAAGAAGTTGAGAAATAAACTCAATACATAATTTATAACGAAATTAATAAGACATTTTACTACATGTATATTTATATATACAAAAATATTAAGTTTTAACGTCATACTTTTAGAAAATCTTATAAAAAAATATAAACGCATAGAACAAGTGCTTTATAGTTTCAGGTTAACATTGTCTGGTTCAAACGAGTTTGGCGAGTACGGTATATGTATTGACCACGGCGCAGACAAGCTCGGAGAGATGCTCTAGTTCATACAAAAAAAACTATAAGATACCAATAAATGCATCATTCAAGAACAATTTAAGTTTCATCTGATTAAAGTTTATCCAAGTTTGAATGCAACGTGTGCATTTAAGACATTCCTGACACATCATTACATATGATTGAAACACAATAAATGTATGCACACACACGCATTCATACATTAGGGTAAAACGGTGACTTTTTTTCAAAGCCAACCGGTTTGGTTGGTATCAGACAAAATTACATCGCAATACCTATTAGCGGGTTCATGTGAAGGAATAAAAATTTAAATAAGACGAATTTAAAAGAAAAGTTAAAGCATAAGTATAGCAGTAGACAACTTTTTATATTACATATCTGTATACTATATATACGACGAATTAGTCTAAAATATGAAGAAAAAAATATTAAATATTTCCCTATATTACCTAAGATATATAAGAAATATTATTCCATGAATAATATTCCATAAAAGACCTGTTCGTAGCAATCACTGATACTTTATTACGTACCTAGAACAAATTCTCTCACGCTACCGGCGACTTGATATCGCGTTTATTAAAATAGACTTTCATAAAAATATTCTAATATTATTAATTTGGTTCAAGAGATATTACAATAAAAATCCTTTCATGTCGTCTTCGATTGAACAGTATACAGAAAATGTATAAAATATAATATAAAAACAATTACGAAGAAATATATTGAAACAAAATTTCGTATAAGGCGGATGACGTTAAAGATTCATAGAATATATACATGTCTATTGTATGTGAGGTTGAGTTTTATGAGGCAGCATTATCGAACCATCGCTAAGTAAAAGTAATGAGCTTATTCCTGTGATGGCGTGGTTCCCTATTATATCAGTAATTTCTTACAATTGATACGAGAACCGAACACGCATACGACAACCAATTAATGGAACGTCCATTGTAAAAATAAAGCTTTATAAATTAAATCCAATTTACTTATAAACACTATGAAATTCAAATTAATGTGGTAATGATAATTTGAATATATTTAGCAAAATAAATTTAATAATAAATGAAGTATGTGTAATGTATGTTAATAATTAAATGATAATCATAATACATGCAAGTAGAAATATAATCAACATACCCATGTATAGTGGTGATTGCTTACTGCCGACGTTATCGTCTACATATGGTATACCGAGTGTAGCGATGCCGGTCTGTCCAACGCCGACCACCAGCAGGCAGACGAACAGCCAAGGTATCACCACCGAAGTTATATAGGATCGGGCGGCGGTACTCCTGGCGTGAGCGTCGTCACATGTCACCATCGAAGAATTACCGTCGGCGGAGCAAACCGGCGCCGAACCACCTCTATGTGAATCTAAATGTACATCCATCAGCCGTGTTCCGTACATGATGTGAGGGACCACACAGCCGATCACGCCCACAGCCAGCACCAGCATCATGCAGGCGATCCATCTGGGTCTGTGGCCGCGACCCGCGAGGTATGTCAGGAACAGCGCGGTACATATCTGACCGATCTCCGTAGCAGCCAACAGCGTCCCGGTCGTCTTCGATTCCACTTTAAACAGCTTCTCAACGGTAGTGGTGACGCTCACGAAGTATGTAAGGAACATACCTTGCAACACCCATCCCGATAGGAACACCAGCATGAACATTCTGGTCGAATGGAAAGCCGTTCTCGGCCTACCCTGTTGCGGCGGTAATTTACAATCGAGGGACCCATTGTTGTTTCCGGTGGCTAACCGTTCCTGTTCCTCCGGTGTGGCCTCGACGCCTTTCATAGCGCCGTCCTGGGGCTCCGGTCCGGTGCGACCCGCCTCCCCGCCCGCAGTCACACTCGCAACGACGGGTGCCCTGTGACAATACAAAAAAAAATCACTTAAAAACGTGACATCCAACATAAACTAACAGAAATGGTGACCAACTCACGTCATAATTGGTTACTTTAGACACGTTTCGTTAAATCAGATTACTCTAGTTATGGTATAATAGGAGATGATGTCAGTATTAAACTGGTAGCATCCCTCGGATGAGTTGTGTCAGGGATGTGTTCTGCGTCCGCGCACCCAGCCCGGTGCTGAGAGACTGCACCGTGCAGTTACAGTCGCGGCCCAGTACAAAACACTGCACCCGCTACACCCGCCACACCCGCCCCTCGACTTCTCCCCACAGGATTTTTATTGGTCGTCTATTCGTTTTTTGTGCGGTACGCATTTACACACGAAAGCTGTTTGCACACCGCCTCCCAAAGATCACTTACGATACTAAGCGGGACATGTTTTAGATCAACGGAGACATCGTTAAAATCGTCTGGATTATTTTAAGTTAAACTTTTAGTTATTGTTTTTTCGTTTATTCGAATTGCGTCGCCTTTTTTGTCACAGATTCGTCGTGTTTTTTTTTATCTAGACGTCAGAGCGTCTGTCAAAAATGGACACATCCGCAATCGGTATGTTAAGGAGAAGGATGTGAGCTACGTCACAATAGTATAGGAATCGAATATTAATAAGTTTTCGCACAACTAACTGCACTCGCAAAACTTACCAATAAGGCCGATGACCAGTACACAGGAGGTGCACGACACTCAGCACTCACTCGACCAGTTCTCAAAGCAAACTATTTAACGATAAAGCTAATTACCACTGATTAATTAGTATAAAAACATATCACGACGACGTCGAGATGAATACTTTACACGACTGCTGATAAACGAGAGCCATTGGTAACTGCATTCCCAGATAAGAATACATAACTTGTGCAATGTACCATCTATAATCGATACCCTATCGCTGTGATAACGGGACGAACCACACAAACCGACCACTTATTATTAGGGTTACTGACCCAACAACCTTTAACTGAATGCCCCATTTATCACCGACGATACACTAGATGTCAATACGAACAAATAATCCAAAATATATTTGTCATAACTGATTAATAACTTTCTCCGAAAAGAACAAGTTCATAAAAGCCAAAGGTCGAATGATATAGCATATCATAAACTTTCACCTTACCGAAATATCTTTATTATATAATTTAAAACAATAATGTTCCTCCGTTCTAAACAGATCTGAATTTATCAAAGTATTCGCATCGTAAATATGAATAAGCAAATGATAATAAAAAAAAATCCCGCCGTCTGGATTTTCAATCTTGTCGGTGGACTGCTGCCCGGCGACGTGAGGACGAGGAGACTGCAGCGAGACGCACTTTAATTGGAGACAATGTTGAATGAAAGTCAAATGCAAACCAACACTCACAATACAATCTCATACAACTACCGACCAGCGATAAATTATATGAAAGAACACAATTTAACGGTCTTAACAAACAGCCCGTACAGAGATGATTTATTCCAATGAAGGGACCGTGTAGCCGAAATCAGATAACAAATTATATACGAAATTACAATATTGCCCAAGTGCCTGTATTTACAAGTCAGATATATACAAAAAGGACGTAACAATCTACACAACCCATATCAAATTTGTGTGTCAGTGTGTAAAACAAAAAGATACCGCTGGGACGCAAATATGCGTTCTGATGGTTCAAGCAAAGGTACAGTGTCATATAGTTGAAATACACTTCGTACTTTAGCCTCAAATATTTTTAAACACGGGACTGACTCGAGATAAATCAAACATCAAACTGACAGCATCACTGACGAAAAAATTCCATATGATCGTACATTTGCCTTTATCATTGGTGTTATTTTCCTTAATAGCATTCAAAGAATATTACTTGTTAGTTCGTTGAGTTTTCTTAGCAGTTATAAATATAGATAGTATGACTTATTAAAATAAAACAAAATCATAGATCTATTTCCAAAGGCATGTGGATTTATAGTTAGGTACACCATCAATCTTAGCGACCTTGTTACAAGTGACTTTCGTTGGCATTTCAAATAAATTTATAGTACATTTAAAAAAGTTTTACGTATTATATTTTATAATATCTATAATCCAAATATGTTAGCGTAGTATGTAATAATGAAGAGGCACGGGGTCAAGGCGAGCAGATCTAATGCAATAACCCGAGGCTCCAACTTTTATTACCTAATTAGTTAGAATTGGTCTACTCAAACGTATATCTTGATGATGAGTTAAAAAAACATTGAAACCGTCGGCATTTCCTTATTACAATTCAAATACTTCGTACGCTAACTTAAGAGATACTAACATTTGACAAAGCTTTGTAATATTTAGGTTTACACGCGTCAATGTTTTTATCTGTCAGTTACATTAGGTTATGAAAATATATTATTAATGAGCTACATAATATACATAATGCGTGCGTGTGTGCGTGCAAAAAAAACATCTGCCATTCTATATACATTCTTTTGTTTTTCTTCATTATTTAGATAACAGAGTACAATGAAAATCTTAAATCCATGTGAAAATAAACTCAATAAATGCAAAATGATTTAATCACAAGTATCGGTTAAATATTTTTTTATTCTAAAGACAACGCTTCTCGGTACTGCGACTTTTTTTTACATCGAATAAAACTTCGATATAAATAAAATATTCCAGTACATATATTACGCTGGCCCTATTTATTTTTTTTTATATACAAATTCATCATTTTAGTTTTTATATATTTTATTCATAGATATACATCAGCGATGTAAATATATGAGTTTTATGAATTGGAAATTTTTTGGTAACATCAAATATTTCAAGGTTTTCTACAGTTTTTTACTGACTATGAATTTTAATGTTTACATAAATTTATAAACATAAAGGGTGTTATATATTAGAAAGTCTTTTATAGGCAGTTATTACTAAATTTTGTTTCAGCACACTTAGTCCGGATTTTCGACTACCTAAATATCGACAGCAGCGAAGTTTTTCGTTAAAAATTATCTGATAAATTCGTTTCGCCGATAATTTAGAATGGTTTATATGGAAAAGTAGTATATTAAGTCTACGACATGCACTTGTATGGTAAGGTTTAAATTAAACTAACTTAGGTATATCTGAAATACATTTACGTCCAGATCGAGATATTCAAAAATTCTTCCGACCAAGTTAAATGCAACTAGTAAAAATATACTAGCCTAGATAGACGTATGTATTAAAACAGTTTGATTTATCAATAAAAGTAACAATTAAATAATAAAATCCAACACAGATCCTTTCCAAATTAACTAAGAAATTAGAGACGAAACTTTTCAGCATTCTATAGATTTACAAAGAATAAATTTATAATAGTTTTGAAAGGATAAAGTCTTGTATAATGTTGTAGAGAGATTTAACACAATGTGCATAAAAAGTAATTACAATCAAATCATAAGTTTTACACGATATTATAAACTAAATTAATATACTTTATAAGGTCTTGTCAATACAAGGTTTTAGATTATAGATAAGGTGACGGTGACTTAAAGACAATTGGAAATAAATCACAAAAACGAGTTATAGACCGACAAACCTGCTGAAAGAAAATAACTTGCAACGGCTAGATGCTGAATAGATTGAGTAACCAAAGATTAGATATCTATATATAATTTGATATTTTTTTGTATAGAATTAACTTTCTAAATAAATTTAAACAAGTCAATGATGATATTAATATAATGAAATCGATTTTAAGCAGCAATAATAATTTGATAGTAAAACTTAATAAAAATAATAAACATTTTTATTTCAATAGTTTTATTTTCAATCAATAATTAAAATCCGAGATTTTTAAAAATTTCGTTCAATCAGTCTTCTAGGCACAAAAGCAAAGTTTTTCATGCCATATATTTTTTTTCCGTCTTATTACGACCTAAACTACCGAAATTTAATGCTTTGCAATCAAAGTCAAATTTCATGTTGACCCGTGTAATAAAAAAACGAAGCATTTTGTTGAATGCTACCAATGAGGTTTTAAATATTCAATAATAACTTACTGCTAAAACAAGTAATAAACAAAAATTGTACAAAAAGAAAGATTGTTTCTAAGTGAAGAAGGTAACGAAATATCTTAAAAAGTAATTAATAATAAGAAAAATATTTTTCTAATCGCGTGATACATTTCAAATTTGTAATATAAATCAAGTATCTTGAAATTATTCAATCGACTCGTAACAATCCGGTAAGCGAATTCAAAATGAATAAGTAATTAAAATTCAATAATTAATTTGCATTCCCGATATCGATCTATTCTTGTTTATCTGAACTCGTAATGTAAGATCTGGTCGCGTAATAATATGTCAATATAACATTTTTCTTATTCACATCTAAGTATTTAACAATAAAACAAAACATTATAATTTTATTCAGTAATTGAATGACATCAAAGATTTATTCAAATCGCTTGTTTAATCCGATAAAGTTATATTAGTTATTTATTATATAATGATATTATTAAAGATTAGCTATAAGCAAAGACTGTTTTATAGATAAAGTATATTTAATAAGTAAGGTTTAAATACGACGAACGTTACAAATAAATAACTATCTCAAGTATACATAGGATTCCGAGTGGAATATATTAAGAATGAACAAAAATAAATTCAACGGAACAATAAAATAACGAGCAATGAATCCAAGTCGAAACTTAATAAGGAAGAATAAAAATAAATAAAGGTAAGATTAAGGCGCATAATTCAGGCGAGAGAAACAAATCCTTCGGAAAGAGGTGTGTCCATATAAACAAAGCTAAAGAAACAGACGCCCTGTGGAGTTCTATACGTACATATTACTGAATATACTGACTCCGATATAACGAATAACATTTAGGAGAAAAGGTGATCCGACCTGGCACGTGCCCAGCCAAAACAGACGGAAAAACCCACTGGCTTGAAATATAGTGAGAATTACAATACGTAGTAAGTTATCTGAACGGTATAATTTAATGGTATAGTTTTGTGATTGTGAGATAATCCATCTAGATGCTCTCTAACTGGACAAGTTTTCCTCCGGCCGTGGATTGCGCAACGTGACATAATCGAGCCTTGACATTGTTGATCTCATACGCCTAGCGCGTGCCAAACATCCCAGGCCTCCGTGTTCATAACGACTATACAATTGTTCATTACACTTCGGGAAAGTTGATAATTTGCACGTTCATATTATAGATCACTAACAAATAAATACATTCAATTTGATAATAATCTATATAAAGAAAAAACAAATACAAGAGCCTGAAACGGATATAACAAAAAATTATAGATAATTTATACAAATGAATAAAAAATAATTTTAATGATTCACCGTGAACAATGTATGTATGTATGTACATATGAATCAAAAACTCTGCCTAAATGAGCAGCAGAGTGTGGAGCAAGGTCGTTGTATAAATGACTAGTGCCAATTTGACACTACTCACCTCACTTATTGAGCAAAGTGGAACGTGTAAATGAAGAAACGTTACTGGAAGCGACCAACTAGCTAGCCACAGAAACGGTAATGACGAAACACATGACGAATTGGAAGGTGATATTAATTTAGATATTGGAAAAGAAAACCCATATAAGATACATTCATAACGATAAAACAATCGACGATCGACGAAAGGAGATCACTTAACTGAAGAACTGTGCCCAATGGAGACAGTGAAAGCTATACAGCGGCCAGAAGTACCGTGATATTCGGTCCACAGGGGCGGTATACTAATAATGTCATCATATAAGAAACGCCTCACGGGATTTGCATACAGCCATCGCCTGAATACACGTGGAGAAATCTCGACGTACAACTTTTTAAGACTGCAAGCATTGTGTGCTTAACAAAGCTGTTTCCATTTTCCATTTGAGCAAACTGAATATTTTAAGGTCGATGAACGTATACTCACAGCGAGACGATCGATAAATAGTACCAGTTTCGATTCTTTGGAAACGATTTTTACTATTGCCCAACACTTGAGTATGTTTAATTTAT